CCGTCACATTCGCTTTGTAATTAATCTCTCAACGAGATCTGTGTAAACATGTAGATTGATTGATACGTGTAATATTTTGTTGAGAATATGTCACGAATTGCATACGTCATCTTTTAATTATAAACATGAATTTTAATTTTTGATTCGTGATAGTAAACTATTAATAAGTTCCTATTTTTAGAGTATGAAATAAGGAGGAAATATTTTGTTGAAGATAAATTATTTTGTAGATAGATAAATATTTATGTAACAGAGATAAATTAGTTAGATGAATATTTATACAACAGAGATAAATTGTTGCATAATTATGTAATAAAAATAAACGATTACGTAATCAATCGATTTGTAATTTACATAACCTATAATATTAACATTTGTTATCATTCCTTTTTATACACTGCACAATTTATTCCAACATGACAGTAAAAATATTTAAGAATTTATTTTAGGAAATATATGGAACAATGTATTTTAAAAAGATGTCTAAAAAATGTTATATAAATTATTTTTATCTAACCAATATATATATTTATATTCACAAAGTATCGATAAATTATATTTACTAAGTCACTTCCCGCCATTTATTTATTATTATTGCGTGAGTGTTCTATCGTAATAAACTGACTAACCAAACGCGAAGAGTGTCATAAATTTTGTCCGAGAATAACGAGTTAATTACAAGCGCGATAATTTGTTAACGTAACGGCATTAAAATCCATGTAAATTTCCGCGGGAAGCGGAAAAGAGAGAGACATTATTTCGGGTCGGGTTCCGAAAAGCTGCAATCGGTTCGAGTTTCTGAAATCGGAGTTAAACGCGCCTCGAGGCAGCGTGTTTAAGTCAAAAAACCGCACGGTTACATCGGCCCGATACCTCTTAAACCACTTTAATGACGCTTCGACGCATCGCGAATTTAAAATTACACTGACGACTCAGTCGAACAGCCTCGATAAAGATCATACTCGTGCAAAAACCGGCCCGAGTCACCGATGCAAAACTGAGAAGCCACGATAAACCGCGTGAACCTAAATCAAAGACGATCTAGTTTAGTTTATTTTCTTCCGTTATGGAAGATGGCGCTCGAGTCTACGATCGCGTTTACCGAACGAACTTTACCATCCTAATTACGTGAAGATTACTAGAATATTTTCCGATGTGGTTCTCATGAAATTTGATGTAAATCGTGACAATAATTTCGTGCAGTGTCAACTGTTTAACGATCAAATGCAGTTTAAATAAAAAAATACATAATTTTAAATACTAATTCAAAGTAAAATTATATGAAAAGATTTTGACGCATTAGTTGATTTGTGTAAAAACAAGCCTTCGATAAATATAACTGTTTGAGAAAAATTGTTTTATTGTGCTTTATATACGTGGGAGGATGTAGGAATAAATATTTATATGTATAAATGAGTTATATTAATCAAAGTGCTAACAACTGTACTTTTATATGCGATGACGTCACGTAATTAGGGTTATACCTTTGTTGTTGACACCCATTGTTGCGTCGAAGGTGTATATTTGTGGTTATAAATCAAAATGCAAGATTAAGACACAATATTTGTTGCGTGACTCTATAATTGTTGTGATATATTGTACTTACGTAAGTCAAAATGGCACATTGTACAAAGCCTGGGGAAGAAGAGTTTGAATTTATGACAGAGGTTTGATATGTTACCTTAAAATTACACGAATCAAAAGTAACGCCTGCTACGTGCAACAAAACGATACGCTTTCCAAAATTTCTCCACGAACGGTTTTCGTGATAATGGAAGAAACTTTAAATCATCTGAACCATAATGATTGTACATGAAAACTACCTTCGTGTGAATTGAAAAGTTGTTTGAACGAAATTTTTTAAATTGAGGATACTGGAAAAGTGAAATGTTAATCTGTATGTAAAAGTCATTTATATTTTTCAACCTTTTATTCTTTTGTGAAAAGATAAACATATATTGTATACAATTGAAAATATTTTCAGTTTACAATTGTAAGAAAATAATAAACTGATAAATTAATACATTATATTAAATTATTGTAAGTATTATACATATTAAATATTAAATTTTTATAATAATTTATAACCTGATAAAATAATTAATGTAATTTATTAAATATACAATTATATTATAAAAAAAATAGATTCTCAAAGGCAATTGTTTGTAGTAACTAATATTTTAAATAAATTATTTCAGGGGCGATATTAAAATAAATGATTTAAAAGAAAAATCTCCGCATTGAATCTTACATAAATTTTGAAGTATTTAGAAAAACATTTAAAATTATATTTATGTATGAAAAATGAATTCAAAATAGTAAAATTGAATCGCAAAAAAATTATCGAAACGAAAATTTGTATATTAACGTCAGAAAATTCAAAAGATTGAACTCGCAGTAGTACAAATGTATATTAGGCGCGACATCTAATACGCAACTACTTTCTTGCGTAATTACATATAACTTATAGGTTAAAAACAAAAGATATAGTAATTATATGTTCACTTATAACGTGTACATACAGGATGTATCAATAAAATATACACATATTATAAACATTAATAAAATATAAAAATGGTAATAAAAATATTAATTTTGGTGTAATAATAGTCATTTTAAACATGTTTAGATTCTACCTAACCTATATAATATTAGTTTAACCTATATTCATTTTATTTAGTCCCTTATGCGATAATAAAGTGTGTTCAAAAAATTGTCTTAACTATTTTTATTTTTTAAAATAATTTTTGTGTAATTAGTTTTCTTTGTAACTGTAATATTTTATCATATCAATGTATCCTTAAAGCATTTTTCCAAAACAGTTTCTAACTTATATGGTAATTTATTTAAAAATCAGTTAACATTCAAAAATAGTCTTACACATAAATCTTTACAAATAAATAAATCTGTCTATAAAAATTTGAAAATCTAAGAAACGTTTTACATGATCACATTAGTATATATATCGATAATTAGTTTAAACAGATTTGAATGTTGCCGCCACCAGAAGACATCCGGTTTAGATCCACACGACGGAGGAACCTGTTACTGTCTTAAGGTTCGTTATACATCCACTGTTATCTTACCATAATTATCGAATAAATAATAATGATTAGAATAAACTTATGATCAAATTAAACATGTGGTAGGATTTAATATACAAAATTCACCATAGATGAAACTTGATCTACTATCAGTTTCATTAATCAGCGTGATACGATCGAACGTATCACAAAATGCACCATAGATAAAACATGATCTACAACCGGTTTCGTTTAATCGAAGCCATAACACCTTGAACGCGGTTAAACAAGCATTACAAAGGAACATTAAAAATTGAAGTAGGTAAGCAAAATTTCATCACACACGGTGATCAAGCATTTCCGTGAAACGAGAACGCACGAGAGTGCAATAAAATGGCGCGAACTTCCGTGAACGGCGATTCCCGTGCAAGCTGCAGAAATACCGGCAGCCCGATGCGATAAAACGATTAAACGGATCATCGTGAGTTCGGGTGGCAGGTGCCAATAAAAATCGGTTACGTCTTATTACGGGTGACCTAGATTTGACCATGGCTACAACCGACTAACCTGTTGTAATCTTAATAAGGTGATGCACAGCGCAACGGCTCGAGCCGCTTGTCGCGTGATGATTGAATAATTTCGCGGAAGGAAATGAGAGGCTATGTTCGCGGAAGCAGAATACACATGCATATACACGTAAATACATATGTATGCATGTAGCATGCCTGTACATACGTGTCCAGACACGCGACATTCTTTCCGCTTTCGCTTTGAAGCGCATCGATCGTCGCGCGAGCCGACGGCTTGATGCAACAAATAACCATAAAACGACCAGCTTTCACGATTCGACCGAAAGATATTATGATCGAGCGATTATATTAATGAATAACGATAACGATACGTAAACGGAAACTTGCTCGCTCTGTTCCTACGTTTGGATATCCTTTTTTTAGGTTATATGCGCACTATGGTGTTTGATGTTTTTTTACAATGGGGAGACAATCTGGTGAGAACCGGAAATTCGGAAATTTTGACAGTTGGGGGATATTGGACGTTTGGACTGGTGGAGAATTTTTAGCTATGAACATTTGGAATTTTTGGTGTTATTGAATTTGAAATTTTTGAAGTTTTTGGATTTGGAAGTTTGTGTATATGGATATTGGAAAATGTGAAGGTTTGGAAAATTTAGAAAATTTGCAAATATAAAAATTTGGAGACTTGGAAATTTCGAACTTGGGGAATTTTAAATATGGAAATATCAACATTTGCAATTTTGAAAGTTTTAAGGGTTGGAAAATTTGCAAATGTAGAGAACAGAGAATTTGTAACCACTTTTATTGAACCGTTTAGCTTTTTCCATTTTAAATCATAATATAATAATGTACGTTTTTAAAAAAGTTGCAAAATAGCACTTCCTGTTAGACTTCACTACTAATTAAATACAGGGGTGATAGGAAAACATTCCGCCATTCTAATCCAAATCGGATGAGTCGCCAGGTGGCGCTATTATTGGTTTTTCTTCTAGTTTAGATCAGTATGGTAACAACCAATAAAAAACATAGACTTATGGATTAAAAACTACTTATTTTTATTTACATAGTGAACTTAAGAACAAATTAATTTGTTATAATCTTTTTATTAATTGAAAAGTAAAAATCTGAAAATTTTCGAATTTGAAATTTATGCTTTAAAAGAATATTCAACATTTCAATTCTTTTTAACTTATAGAAATATTTAAAGAAAGTACAAACTTATAAATTTATAACAAAAAGAAAACAATTATTTAGTAACGCAGTATCGAATCACAAAATATTTTATTTTAAAATAAAAATTCCTACAAATCTATATTACAAATCAGTAGTTATACAAAAAAGTACTAAACCTCACCTCTAATTTGATATTTTGATAATTTGAAACAAAATTTTTCTTTCAGTACTCTGTTTTAAAATTTAAACAAACGAAATCGGTCATTAATTCGCCATCTGTGGCTGAAAAGGGAAAGCGTAATTGCAGTTGCAACGATTCTGACAATTCCAAGAATGTGGTGTCTCCATCTGTTAGTTGTGAACGGAAAGCAAAGGTAGATTGACACAATTGGCACAACGCGAGCGTAGCCCTGGGGATTCGGTTCAGAAAGTAGCGAATTGATATTTGGTGCATTGTGTGCATCACAGTAAAAGACCTCAAAATGAAAGTGCCCTCGTGATATCGTCCGCGGAAAAATTGGTGCATCGAATTTTCAGTTTGATTTCGATTTTTCAAACAGCATCGTTGCCTAACATTCGACAGCATGCTATCATTTTAACCATATCGCGAACGAACGAAGCTGAAAGGCTCATCGGATATATTTATTTATCGTTCGTTAGCCGGAAAACTACTCAAACTGTGCAGAAATTCGATCGAATTTGTGAATCGTACGTCATAAATTTTCGTATCCATCATACAGTGAGTGTCAATGATGTTTGTACTATCACTTTCTCACGCCTATGACTCAACGAATTTCTTAAAAACACTTTTACACGAACCAACGTGCATATGAATGTGTTTTTAAATCCATGTCACTCGTCCAACATACAGCATTACGTTTATAATCGTTTCCATTTTTGTTATTTATCTGATTTTCCTGTTTCAAAACACTGTACTAATATTGGGGATCATCTACATTATACATAAACAACAATTTTTCTGTTTTGATTTGTATTTTATGGTGGTTGTAAAATTAAAATTAACAGGAAGCATTGTTTATGTATTCATATTAATTCTGTGCATTAATTTTGTATTAATATTTCTCATTTTATATTGAAATTTTAGCAGTGCCTGTAAAATATACAAAACATTGTACATGGCGTTTTCTAGAAGTTATGAAAGTTTATGGAATATTTATGATTCAATTAATAAGATAATTGTATTCATGGTAACAGTATACATCTATAAAGTTTTAGGACTAATCTTTTTTCCAAGAATCGATTCATTGTTTGCAATTGATTAGTAATGTACATGAATTTGATTTATACATAGTTTCATTTGTGTAATCAGATATGTTTGGAAGTTACATTTTCTTTTACTCAATGCTATACGTAATAGCGTCCTGTTATGAAGCAAATGGCAACCAAATTTTATCTTATATTGGGGAATGTATAACAAAAGCTGAAAAAGTTGCATATAGTTCATATACAAAGCTTCTGTTCTAAACAACCTTAAAGACAAAACTATTACATAAAAATACATGTACAAATGCACAGTCTATGTATACATTATAGATTATATCTTCCATTCCTAACTATTACAGTTTTACATTTCCTTGTCTAGCTTTATGTATTTCTTTCATACAATCTATTCTTCTTCGACTCGTCTATCAATTCTTTTATATTTTTTGTTATTTTGTCCACTTTGCTATTGTTCATTACCAAATGTTCTAATGTTCTCTTTTTTAGCTCTATAATTTATAAATTTCTTTTATCGTTCCTGCAATTACTTATTATTCTGTTCCTGATCACTACGATTTGCATATTTCTTCACCTTTTATTAGTTAGACATTTTCATATTCCTAATATGCTTACCGCTTTATATCCTAGCTCACATTTGATGACATATTGGTACATCCAGGCTATATTAGCTGAACCTGCACCGAAGCTGTGCAATTGATAGATTAGTAAGTCAAAGACATACAAAGACGCACAAAAGATTAAAAACGTAGAATGTTACGTAGAAGAATCTTTAAATTATAAATGTAGTAAAAATGTTTAAATGAATTGTTTTAATTCCAGGAATTTGAGAAGATCAGGGGGCCTGGTACAGGCACGTTCAAGAGTCGTGGTGGTTGGTGAATGGTGTTGCAGATAGACTCGGTGTGGGGTTGGGCGTCACCCCCGCTGCGCCTCCAGCTAGGGGGGTCTAGGGGCGCCTCGGGGAGAGCGGCCGCGGGCGCCCCATCCTCGCAGAGGATGGGTGAGATGGTCGTGGAACGCGCGCCTTCCCCAGCCCGCCTCAGTCACACATCCGAAAAACATCCTCGTGCTACGCTCACCGAACTCAATGTTCTTCGTCGTCATCGAGAACTTTGCGATGTCGTCCTCAACGTTGGTTCCAGAAAAATATTTGCACACCGCGTTATTCTATCCGCGTGCAGTCCGTACTTCAGGTAACATATTACAACAAAACGTATGAATAAAATAAACCACATGAATAGACTACAATTATTCTTTGTCTGTGCAGAGCAATGTTTACTGGGGAGCTGGCGGAATCTCGACAAACTGAAGTTACAATCCGTGATATAGACGAAATGGCGATGGAACTACTGATAGACTTTTGTTATACTTCTCACATCATCGTCGAGGAAGCGAACGTTCAAACTCTCCTTCCAGCAGCGTGCCTTCTCCAGCTAGCAGAGATTCAAGATATCTGTTGCGAGTTTCTCAAACGCCAGTTAGATCCTTCTAATTGTTTAGGAATACGAGCGTTTGCGGATACTCATTCTTGTCGTGAACTATTGAGAATCGCGGATAAGTTCACACAACATAATTTTCAGGAAGTATGTTCTCCACGTCCCTACGTATGATTCGTTCCTTTGAACGGTTTCGTTTAAGTTACGTTTGATGTTGCACAGGTAATGGAGAGTGAAGAATTTCTGTTACTACCTGTCGGCCAACTAGTAGATATTATTTCTTCGGATGAATTAAATGTACGAACGGAAGAACAGGTATTCAGCGCTGTTATGAATTGGGTTAAGTACAACGTCACCGAGAGAAGGCAACATTTGGCGCAAGTTCTTCAGCATGTACGATTACCCCTTCTTAGTCCGAAATTTTTAGTTGGAACTGTAGGCTCTGATCTTTTGGTTCGATCCGACGATGCGTGCAGAGACTTGGTGGATGAAGCAAAGAATTACTTGCTACTTCCGCAAGAAAGACCGCTAATGCAGGGACCTAGAACACGACCTAGAAAACCAACTAGACGTGGTGAAGTTTTGTTTGCCGTCGGTGGATGGTGTTCCGGTGATGCAATCGCTAGTGTAGAAAGATTCGATCCCAACACCGCGGATTGGAAAATGGTTGCACCGATGAGTAAACGAAGATGCGGCGTTGGAGTGGCTGTATTGAATGACCTGTTGTACGCGGTAGGGGGTCACGATGGACAGAGTTATTTAAATAGCATCGAACGATACGACCCACAAACGAATCAATGGTCCTGTGACGTTGCACCTACTACATCATGTAGAACTAGTGTAGGTGTTGCGGTGTTGGATGGTTTCCTTTATGCGGTAGGTGGTCAGGATGGCGTCCAATGTTTGAACCACGTTGAAAGGTAAAATATTTTGTTTTAATTTTGATTCTTTTACGTTGTAGCAAGGGCTGAAGATTTTTACTTTTCAAGTTCTTTTTACCATTGGGTTCCAGTATGTGCATGTTATGGATGCAAGATTGTTCTGATATTAATTTCCATATTAACTTTCTTTTCTATTAAACTCTTTTCCTACATTTGACCATCTTAAAAATTAATGCAGTAACTATTTTAATAGTCTTGAATCGCTAAAATCTTTGGCCCTTATTGTAGAATAATCGATTCAACTGTTTGATCTAATATTAACAGATGAACTAAAACAGTAGTATTATATTGTCCCAAAAGTTCATAGTGTTTTTGTGATGTTTTATTTAAGTTTGATTTTATTGCTATTTTTATTGTTTTATACCGGCATTGAATGTGATAGCAATTTTTGTGGAAAACATTAGTTTTAAATAATTTTATAGAATACTCACTACGTGATATATGGTACAAGTTTGAAAGGGAGTCCTACTACTGATACAACAAGAAATGTGCTTGCATAGTAAAATTAACATTGAGAATTATGTTAGATTTAAAGAAGGAAATTTTTTTTGTCAAAGATGAAAGCCTTCGACTGTTGAAGATGAATGTTGCTAACGAAGAAAAGTGACCAATACTATCTCAACATAATAGTGATAGACTACATGCAACAATAATCACTCAACAAATGTTATGTGAGTGAAATAGGGATGTTGTAATACACCCCTTATATTCTGACCTTGTCGAAGTTTCATTTTGTCCCATCACCCTAACATTCATTAACTAACAAAAAATAAGAATAGAATAAAATGACAACTGTATTTTACATTGAATTTCATTTCAAGAAACACTACGAACTTTTCAGACAATCTCATATTAATATAATGTGAACACAAAATAAACTGTTATATTGACATGTACTCAAATAAAAAACATGCTATGTTTTAATTATCTGTTAATAAAATATAATAGAAAATTTTAATATGAAATAAAACAACACTTTTCAATTGAAATAAGTGTGTTTTCAAATAGATTAGTTTCTGTATATAAACATTAGACTACAAATGATTTATTTATACTGTGTTGATATATTACAAAGTTTAATAACGACATTTTGATATGGTTTATAAGACACCAGGATCACCTTTATTAGTCAAATCATTTTTTAAATCATTTCTAGTAATTACTACTGAAAAAGAAGGAAGCATATATTGCTCTTTGAAACGTGTGTTCTATTGAATGATAGTCATGTATTCTATGTGACAAATGATATGAACTATTTCATTTGTCCAGGTATGATCCGAAGGAGAATAAATGGTCCAAAGTATCGCCTATGACTACTAGAAGACTTGGAGTGGCTGTTGCTGTGTTAGGCGGTTATTTATATGCCATCGGCGGGTCTGATGGGCAGTCACCCTTAAACACAGTAGAAAGATATGATCCAAGACAAAACAAATGGTCTCAAGTATCCCCTATGTCTACTAGACGTAAGCATCTAGGCTGTGCTGTATTTAATAATCTAATTTACGCCGTTGGAGGAAGAGATGATTGCATGGAACTCTCCAGTGCAGAACGGTATAATCCTCATACAAACTCTTGGAGCCCAATAGTAGCTATGACATCAAGAAGAAGCGGAGTAAGTAATCTTACTTTTATAAATATTTTTAAAGATAGAGTTTTGTAGATAATTTCAAGTTAGACTTTTGTTCATTATTGAGAGTTGTCCTTTCATTATTAAATGGTGTCCTTGTATTACAGGTGGGATTAGCGGTAGTGAATGGTTTGCTATATGCTGTGGGTGGATTTGATGGAACTGCCTACTTGAAAACAATTGAAGTATATGACTCGGAACAAAATCAGTGGAAATTATGTGGTTGTATGAATTATAGGAGGCTCGGTGGAGGTGTGGGAGTAATGCGAACCCCACAAACCGAAAACTACATTTGGTAGCTCAGGCCCCCCTCTTCAGCCCAAATGGCTGAAACTCCTTTAACTCCTCTCACGCCGGTAACTCCTGTTACTCCTGTGACTCCTCCCGCTCCTGTATCGGTTCCTGTTGTTATAACTAATACTAGAAAACGCTACCGCCGATCGATGAGCATTATATAAGTAACATGTGCGTTTACAAGACTTTGCCTTTCTACAGATAAAATCATTTTCGTCACAAATTGTTATCCATTTTTTCGTTCGCTTTCATTAACTTATCATTCATTTTAAACTTTAGTCATTTTATTTAGGTTCATATTGTACTGAATATAAATGTATATTTTCTTTGCGTAAGAAAAATTACTCTTCGTCTATGCTCATACTGCCACTATATGAATTTTTTAAGTAAGCTTTTGTAAGATATTCCTTTCTACGTTATTTACACATTCTTTCATGCATTAAAAAATATTTGATTCCAGTCGTTTTAGACTTAAGTGTTATATTGTAATTTTTTTATAGTATAGCTGTACAGATGGTGAACGTTTAAGACACAAATAATGGAAAGGCAAAATCTTTTTTTGAACATATTTTCGAACACGATACTTATTTCGACGGAACACCCGCTGTTTCCATTTTTTTAATAATTCAGAAAAACGAATTTTTAAAGCCCACATTAACATCAGAACTTCGTTATGAAGGGCCGCTTGTGCACCAACTGATACAAAGAAACAAAAATAAAGATTTAATCAAATGAAATGTTTCTGTCTCGATAGTATGCTTTCTACAACGTATTTTTATCAACAAGACTGAACTGAAACCAAAAGTTATGTATATCTAAATAAATGAAACAAATGTTTCTGGCTCTAAGCACACTTCTGTTTTAAGACAATGTATGAAATACACGTAAGTTATAGATATGGTTTCATTAAGTACTGAATGTTGTAGTTTCTAAAGTTAGGTTTTCTTCATTCTTCTGTACCATTATAATGAACAAAACTTGATCAATTTTGCGTTTCGTTCGAAGTAACAAAAGAGTAGTCTTATATGTACAAAATGGTGATAGGGATCATTATCCAACAATTTCATAATGTAACGTTTGTGATAATAATCTAGTAAGAGTCAGCAGATTCGGCTGAGTGTGAGCAATATTTTACTAACAATAACGAATATTATTTTATAATTATTTGAATAGAAAATTATAAAAGAAACTAAAAATTTTCGTCGATTGATTACAAAATTGAAAGTTTACGAGTCACTAGTTGTGTTACATCTATGAGATTGTTGAAAAAAAAAAGAAAACAAAACACATGACTAGTATAAGATTATACTGAACGATATGATGTAACTGTCTCTAAATAACTTGTTACGAAATATCATTATTAGAAACTACAAATTCTCAACATTGTACCATGACCTTCTTCAATGGAACAACCAGTTTTAATTAGAAGTAAATCGTGAAAGAATTTCTATTTCTTCATAAATACAGTAAATTTGTAACATCAATATAGCATAAGTGAAGTAATTCTGTTGAGTTCAGGTAATCTAATTAGCGAATTAAAATGGTACAAATTATTGTAATCACTAAACGAAGTTCAAATAAGTGTTCAATATCAGATTCAATTTTCAAACAGTTGAACAACGTAGTTTCGGCAGAAAATGTTACTGTTTTCAAAAATTCGAAATTCTGCATAATGGTAGCTGTTTGATTTTTTAATTGCATTTCATTTAGAACTTTATAACAAGCATTTTTTAAGAGCTAAAACTATTTTTAGCTGCATTTTCTTTTACGTTAATTTATCATTTTTATTATTTAATTTTAAAAAATTGATTTTGAGAAATAAGTATTTTGAATATGATAAAATAATTTTATTATATACAGAGGAATTTTATTATACTGAAAAATATATCAGGAATTTTCAATTGTTTGTCTGTTTATGAGTCCTATTATTGGAGCAGACAATCAAAATGGAGGTGTCATGCAGAATAGAATGCTATATGTGAAAAAATTATGTTATTTGCTACTTATACTTATTTGTAAATAAGTACAAACATAAATAAAAGTGCGTTATAAAAAGTTACTGTCGTTATTTTAGTTTTTCTTTTATATTTTTATTTTACTTTTGTGCAAATGATTCCTACTTCTACCAGAAGATTACATTCTATTCTGCATAATGAAACAACTAACTTTTTTACCATAATTTTTGTTGCATCAAAATTTTTTTCATATTGCAGTCTTCAATAGTATGTCATTTATTTTTTATATAATTTCAGCTTTAAAATATTGAATCATTTTCATACAACCTTTGCACTATCAAATTGTTGAGTCTCATATTTTTGTAAAATTTTAAACTTTTTAAATCTTAGTATCAACTAATTCTTACTCTGTGAGTAAAACAGTTTTATAGTTAGCTTTTGTTTATATCTTCAATTATATTAGAAGGTAATTATATTTTTAGCATTTCTTATTTTCTTTATTTTATAATGAGACCATTATTTTAAAAATAAAAGCATTATTATAGTTGAAATTTACACAAAATAATGTGTATAAAATGTTACAAACCATTTTTGAAACTGATTATAATTTAATAATCTTTTTATATCTTTCTAACGCTTTAAGTAATACTATCTTACATTCTTAATGATCCTTTAAAAACTTGTTTGTAATATTATTGTACAAATTACTTTGTGTACCATTAAAAAAAATACAGGAAACTGGATTTAACATCTTTTGAACAAATGATGAGAATGTAGTACAAAGCAGTTTATACAATACTCTTTTCAGTTTTGAAACAGAAAGAGAGAAGGAAAGAGTGAAAAAGAATAAAATAGAAAATATGATCACTATGTAAGTAACATTATACAGTTTTTTCTTTTTTTATTATTATTATTATTAAAACAGAACCCCATAAATACTGTCTCAGGTAAGAGACATATTTATTTACACACCTATTATAATCAGAAACAATAAGTACGTTATTGTACATTCATTATATGCTTTGCTAGTTTTTATAAACTTTATTTGTAAATGGGTATTTGCTTTTGTATATATTAAAGATCTGTCCAAATGTTAATGAGCAAAAATATAATGTTAAAATAGAACAAAAAAATCCATTGATGTAGTCCACCTTTTATTAATTAATATTTAAACTTAAAAAAAAGAAGAAAAACTGAAATTTAAAAATAAGTGTTATACAAATTATTAGTTAAAATATCCTCCTTGTTTACCCAAAATAAAAAAAAAATACTGTCATTTGAAATCATGTTAAGATGTTGCAAATTTTCCAAAATGTCGGTAAATGCTTTAAGATTAAAGTAGAAGAATAAAAATATTAATTTGTCATATGCAAATTGTTAATTGATTATCTAATGTTACTCAAATAAACATTTTTTATGTGGTCTATTCTCATTGGCTGATTTTGAACATACCGCTTTATACTAACGAATAAAATATAGCCACCAAATAAATGGAAACCACTTATTCATATGCTATTAAATAAAATTGATATAAAACCTTTTTCTATATTAAACGATACAGGAAAATGAATAAATCGAACAATTAATTTTTTAATAATTCGTGTTTATCATGTTTATCGTATATCATTCTTCAGACTGTGTTACTTCTGATATTGAACATGAGTATAAATAAATATGTATAAAATTTTTTTCAATATAAGTGCCTTTATCTGTAATATAAGCGGGCAGTTTGGACACGTTAGCAGTATAATTAACATAGAAAATTCAGTTGTGATGCAATCTAATATAAATGTTCATAACCGTTCCGTGAAGTTCCTTTAATAATTATAATTTTGTAATTGAACAATGTACGTTTTAATGCAAATTATTTTGACGCAATTACTGTTTTCATATTTTGTAATCGGTGGTCCTGAAGAGGAGCAAGGTGTAAAATATGCCAACAAGTGTGAAGGTATTTGTATATATATCATGTATACAATATAAATATATTTGTTATAAATATATATTATATATAATACATTATTTTGCAGTTTGTAAGGTTGTTGCCACAGAATTAGAAGCAAGATTAGACGAAACCGGCAAAACACATGATAAGCTCGAAATTGGTTATTCGGTCGACGATGTTGCGCCTAAGAAAAAGAAAGAATATACAAAATCGTAAATTTCACATATATTTGAACATTTCCCTGTATTATACATTTATAGTGTATAATAGTTTTTATAAAGTTTATAACTGTCATTTTCAGAGAATTACGTTTAATAGAAAGCATGGAAGATCTTTGTGAACGTATACTGGAATATAATATTCACAAAGAGCGTTCAGACAGTACCAGATTTTCCAAAGGAATGAGTCAAACTTTTAAAACTCTTCATGGACTTGTGTAAGATAATACTTCCATATAATAAATATTAATTCATAATGATTAGTATTAGCATCAAGTTCAGTATGTACTTGAAACAAATTCAATATCTTAAGTTTCCTTAATTTTATATGTATACAGGGATAGAGGTGTTAAAGTTGAGTTGGGAATTCCATATGAATTGTGGGATAAGCCATCCGTAGAAATAACAACTTTAAAATCACAGTGCGAAGATTTACTTGAAAATTATGAGTCTGATATTGAAGAATGGTATTTTAATTATCAAAGAGATATTCCTTTAACTAGGTATTGATTTCAAACTATACATACATTATCATTAGTTGAATATAATGCGACAATATTAAATAATTTCTATTTTATTAGGTATTTGTGTTCAGAGAGAGCATTGAAAGGGGATGATGATTCTTGTCTTAAAGAAAAAGGTGAAGTTAGCAGCGATGTAAAGGAAAAGAAAAAGAAGAAAAAGAAAAAGAAAAATACAGAAACTGAAGATAAAAAGAAAGATGATAAGGAAGAATTGTAAAGTATTAACTGATGTTGAAAAATAAGCAATGAAAGTCATAAAGACATTATTAAGTCTACTTACAAAATGATGAACAAAATAACTTGATACTCTTCATTAGATAAATATACATCTTTTTATACGTTTATTTAATATTGTATCTATTCTGTAAATACAAATTTTGCCAAAACTTCTGCCATAATTAATATTGTATTTTTAGTCATTTTTTAATAAACAATTTTATGTTTAGTAACAACGATTTCTGTTAATATGCAGTTGCAATCTTACTATATTGAAGGTAGTCACATGAGAGCATAAAATGATATTTTGTATTTTAATCACAACAAATATGGGTATAAATATTTTGTTATTTTTATTATTAATAAATTCGGAACAATCTAAGAGTGTACTGCTCAGAGGAGAAAGAGCTCAAGATGGTCAGTTTCCTTGGTTAATACAATTTCAAACAATAGCACCATGCGGTGGAGTTCTTATATCATCAGACTGGGTTTTAACTGCAGCACAATGTGTACAAGACAAGAGAAACGTATGTCATTTTCTATTCTTGATATTAAAAATAAGTATTGAAGATTACACTTTTAATATTTATTAATATAGTCCATTGTTTTATTTGCGACTGGACTCAATGGAACTGATACTAAACAAACAGTATCTGTAAAAGCTACGTACATACATCCTCACTATGAACCCTATTCTGTTCTTCCTGATCGAGACTATAATATAGCCCTTATGAAACTTAATAAATCATTTGACATGTGTAACAGCAAAATAATATTACCAAATATACCTGTCAAATATGATACCAATTATGCACCATGTTTAATATTTGGATGGCAAAGCTATGTTTCATCATTTTCCAAAGTTTTGGCTAAACCTATCCAGTATAGTGAAGTAATTCTTAGTTCCTGGAAATTATGCACATATATGATAAAAACAAGCACAAATTATACAAATGTATTTTGTACAATGGTGGAATTTAAAGATGAAATGAAAGCATGTGCTGGAAATCCTGGGTCACCAGTTGTATGTGAAAATCAACATCATGAAACAGCTTTACTTGGAATTGCATCTTGGACAAACTTTTCTTTAGAATGTGGAGATCTTCCAACATATGTTGATCTTGATGCATTTAGGTATATGTTTGGAAATAAAGTTTATAATAACATTATATATTATATTCATCATTTAATGATGTTGACAATTTTCTTTTTCCAAGATCATAAAAAATTATCTGTATATATGTAATTTAATCTGATAAATGTCTTGTAGTAAATTATTATAATTATTAACTTGCTAATATTTTAGGACATGGATAAAGGAGTTAATTTTCAATGATAAAGAAGTAGAAAACTGGAAAGACAATCATAGATCAAATGAAAACAACTGCAAATTTAAAGAAAATACAAATGTAGATAATTTACGGAATAACACAAATTTTTTAAGAATAAATTCACAAATAAATGATTGGCCAATAAATGCCAAAATAGGAACACAAACTGCAACATCTATGGAACATAAAAATCGATCCTTTATTTGGAGTAGATTATACATTCCTATTTCCCACAAGTTTAAGTATATAAATGTAACTTCTTTTCGTCCTAATAATCTATCACATACACATACTGTGGATAAAGCAATTAGTACTAATCACTACAAAGAAATTGGTAAAACTAAAGATTCTTGCAATAATCAGACCATAACAAATTTAAAAAAAGGACAGTTAAGTCTCTCAAATAAATCAAGATTATGTAATAGTAAAAAACGTGATAAAATTATAAAAAAACACAATAATGATCATGTAGAATCAACTCATTTTGAATATTTATTACCACTTTACTTTGAAGAAATAACAACTTCTCATTCGAGGATTATTGTTGCACATTCAAGGAGTTTATACTTTCTTTCCTTTATATTTTTGTCTTTACATCATTATTTACATGTAATATATTTTATTTAATAGTATGTATGTATAATATGATATACATTATATACAAAATTGACAATTTTATTTTAGTTTATCTCTAAGATGTGGTGCCACCCACTTCGTTTTACCACGAAGCTCTCTCAAACGTTCATATTCTTCTTTGAAATCTTGATGTTCATCTCTGAATAAACCATACTCTCTGAGACGCTTCATTAATACAGCTGTTTGAGTATGACGTGGATAATAGCTGATAATTTCTGGTCGTTTATTTACCGGTTTTTCACTGAATAACTTAACAACTTTCATAGACTTGCTTGGAGTTGATCTTGTTACTTCACCGAATATTCGATTACTTAAGCGGTTCATATGTTTGGCATATGAAGTGCCTGCATTCTGGAGTTTTAAATATTTATTCATTTTTAATTCTTAAAAGTACGTTTTTATAGTTTGACTTGAATCATAATCCAAAGATTGAGGTTATAAAAATTTTGCGCTTTGATACGATTAGTGTACAGACTCTGCTTGAATTGTGAAAATATATACGGTGTAAATTATAAATCTATGTTATTCTGAACACAGTAAAATACAAATCTGGTTTTCCTGGGGAAAATGGCAGCCAAAGAGAACTTTTTGCCTAAGATGCACTATGTCTAATTTCCAACAAACGTTTTCGAAATCGATGAATAATGGGTATTAATATTTTGAAAACAATAAATAGAATATATAATTGTTTTAAATATTGAGTTCCATAGTTCTCACCTTATTATTCTTTTATTTTAATAATTCATTCACTTTCCATGGCTTTTTTGCTATTTGAAATTGATGATAATTAGCATAAAACAACTAATTGTTTTTGGGTAATCCCATATTTTATTAAACATAAATTGATAAAGTTGGTTCCCTGTGCACTACAATCTATCATGTGAATTCGCCATAACATTATTGCGGCAAGTTATCTTTATGATACAACATAGATTTTTATGTATATATGTTTGTTAATTTGTAGCAATAAATAATATCAATTGAAATAATGTCCTCTCGCATAATTTCTTTTTGTAAACTTTTAAACCTGTATTTCCTCGTTGAACTAAAAGCAAGATAAATGCGTGTAACTATTTAAATAAACATTTACATGAAAATATTTTATCGAACCTACATTTTACACATTGTTATTGTCCTTCAGTAATTTATTACTACTTGAACTATTTATGTACATTTATACGTAAATATATAAGTATATAATATATAAAGTAATGTAATACAGTGAATACAAGTACATATTTCATATCGAATATAAATACATAAGTGCAACATGTTCCTTATATCTTACAAAAGATTATGCTTTAATTTAACCAATGACAATTACAAAATTAATCAAATTCGGAGGATATGATTAATTTAAGTTAAATAACAAAAATGGCTATAACAAAGAACCATTCAATAACCCGATCTTCTAGTTGTTTACGAAAATATCGAATACTTTTTGTATTTGGTATTACTGTATTGTGTGTACAAATTTATTTGGCTCATACATTTTTCGGGTTGGAAATTCGAAATCGAAAATCGAGCCAACTATCTTCAGGAGAAGTAAGTTTATTAATAATAATGTTGATGTTAAACTATTTTTCATATTATATCATAACATATATTTTGTTTGTAGGATTTACCTCAATTCGAAGAAGATGAAGGTTTACCAAAAGGTTTACGTCAAGTGAAACTTCCACCAGATAAACATCCTAATTCGAATAAAGTATCACAGTCTCAGATAAACCGCACTTCTAGAATAAAACTAGATTATAAATCATTAAATTTTACACCACCTTGTGAATTTACTGGCAGAGAAGCTGTGAGCGCTGTAACACGTGCACAAAGTCAAATATGCAAACAACGCATTGTCAATGTGACGTGCCTTAATCAACAGGGATTACTATACCCAGAAAGAATACAGTCTTTGTGCTCTCATTCTCCAGGATTTATAAACAAACCAGTCAGTTTAGGATGTTTTAGAGATGATAAAACATTAAGAGTACTTTCTGGTTATTATCATATTTTTAAAGGGAACAATTCTCCAGAGCGCTGTGCTTTTTTGTGTCTTCAATCAGGATATTTATATGCTGGTACAGAATACTCGTAAGTATATAGATACAACACATCTATTTTTTAAATTAAATTGGTTCAGACATGGAACACAATGACAATTCTGATAGTTTTGTATTGAGAGCTTACTCTGAGCTTTCGCTTTCATAAAAAATGATATTAAATAGATATGTGGTACTTGTAACAAATATGTGAAGATACATTATCCTCAGATATACAAGTGTTTAATTTCAGAGTTGAATGTTTTTGTGGAATGGAAAAACCATCGCAGCTAAAACGATTACCAGATTCTAGTTGCAATATGAAATGTTCTGGTAATCCTAAATATTCCTGTGGTGGATATTTGACTATTAATGTGTTTTCGACTGGAATTCAAAGTAAGAAAATTAATCTATTAATATAATTATGCACGTAAAACTTTTATTTATATAATACTAACTTCTGTTAATAATACAAGTTTATGAAGAATTTATATCATTCATAGGATTCAAAGCTCAAGTAGCTCGAAATGCAAGTACTGATAGTGAAAATGAAAAACCTGCACGAATTGCTTACTTATTAACAGTGAATGGCAGAGCAAGTCGACAAGTGAAACGACTTATTAATGTTTTGTATCATCCATCACATTTATTTTATATTCATGTCGACGCGGTAATTAAACAAATTTTTAATACTTCCAGATAAATGGTTTATTGTAATTAACGTTTCGTACTTTTAGCGGCAAGATTATCTGTACCGGGAAATGTTAGAGGTAGAGAAATCCTGCAAAACAAATAATATCAAAGTGGCGAGGGGAGAAAATTTACGTCATGCAAGTATTTGGGGAGGTGCAAGTCTGTTGACAACTCTTTTGAAATCAGCACAACAAATGCTTGCGCATAATCAACACTGGGATTTCCTCGTTAACTTATCAGAATCTGATTTTCCTATAAAAAATAATGCACAATTAACGCAATTTCTTAGTTTGAATAGAGGTATGAATTTTGTAAAATCTCATGGAAGAGAAGTTCAGAGGTTTATCACGAAACAAGGTTTAGATAAGACTTTTGTAGAATGTGAAACTCGTATGTGGAGAATAGGTGATCGTAAGTTACCAGATGGTAAATTTCCTTTTCTACTTTTGTTTTATTTAAATAATTGTTTAATTAAATAATTATTTGTTAAATAATTGTTTTATAGGTATTCAGATAGATGGTGGTAGCGACTGGGTAGCTTTAAGCAGGGAATTCGTAGAGTACGTTGCTAATCCAAATCCTGATCCATTAGTGACTGATCTACTAAAAGTATTTAAATATACTTTACTACCTGCCGAGTCTTTTTTCCATACAGTTTTACGTAACTCGAGATTTTGTAATACATACATTGATAACAATTTACACGTTACTAACTGGAAAAGGAAATTAGGATGTAAATGTCAGTATAAAGCAGTAGTTGATTGGTGCGGTTGCAGTCCAAATGATTTTAAACTTGAGGATTTTAGCAGAATCCGAAATACAATAGATCGTAACTTATTTTTTGCCCGAAAATTTGAATCTGTTATTGATCAAAGAATCATAGACAGGGTAGAAGAATGGTTGTACCCTGAAAGAATAAACAAAACAATTATTGCAAAAGGTTACGATACGTATTGGCAAAATCTATATCATACAGCAGACTTGAGTCCTTTGAGTGACGATGCGCAATTAACTATTTCGAATTCTTTAGCAAGATTAGTTTTTCGTAAGCTAAATATAGACTATAACAATGTTCGCCTTTTGGAAACTACTGCCTATTTCAGTCACAATCAGTTCGTCGGAATATTGATTCACGCAGAAACGACAATTAATGAAAAATATGTGGAACAAATAGAATCTTTGGTCTATTTAAGACGCAACTTTTCTACTAGTCGAGAGTGGCTGGGAAAAATACAAAGTTTATCCGTTAATACGGATTATGATCAAAAAGAGAAGACATTCAGAAATTTAATGGGAAGTATAGGACCATACTCAAATCCAGGCTTATGGTACGATTTCGATGCTGGAATTGTTACACCACAAAATTTATCTATACTTTGGGTGGATCCATATGGTCGGCTGGCAGATGTTAATTATATACAACTCGAAGAAACAACTTTAGTAATTATATCATTTTTGTTTAATTATTTTATTTGTAACATTCTTTAAGTGATTAATATATTGCTCATTTTCAGTCAGGATATGTTAAACCACAACTGAACGAACATCTAGTTGTGGGTACATGGCATCTGCTTTTAGTCGCTGATTCTTTATTAATAGCGAAAATGAAATTTCTGGTAACTCCTTTGGGATACTGGAAAAATAGAAAGATCAACGCTGAAAAATCCAAAGAAGTGAATGATGCATCTGGAAATGGTTATCATGTTACTGAAGAAATGAACAAAAAGTGGTCACATTTATTAAGCTCCATAAATTTTTATGAACGAACTGTTTATACCACTGGTGATGAAAACAACGTTAATTCTAATCTGAATGAGTGGATAGATAAATTAGTAGCAGAACATTACGAAATCGACAAAGTGTGTAACGTAAATAGTAAAATAGAAACTAAATTAAAATTACAGAAGTGTATTAATACTTACTGGAGCTCATTGAGTCCAGATTCAAAGGCTGATATCAGTAACTTGTGTTAAAACTATTAATTAATTTACTAAATATGTGCCATTCTCAATATTTTTAAAGTTTAACTTATTAAATACGTGTAAAAACTAATAATCTTTTTAAATATTTTTATATCAAATACACACTATACATATACATACAGTCTGTTTTAAAAATATTTTACATCCTAAAACTAAACAATTTTTATGCTACGGTAAGCCAATTTTTCATGTGTTTCTTTCAATTTTAATTTTCAGTATACCTAATTATTGATAGTATAATGAAATACTTTTATGTATTTCTACATATGTATATAGATAAACATTGTATAATAACAATTCATTTTTATTGGCTGTAACAATGTATTGTATAACTAATTAACGACATTCTACATAGTAGAAACCAAAAGTTTTCCATATACATTTACATAATTTGTATTACATTCCTGTAAAATATTTCTACATGTGCCTTCAATTTTATTAAATAACAGGAAATTTGAATTTCATTAATAATCAATTGTATATATTATAAAAAGCAATTGTTAGTCTTTCTGTTTTTAGCAATGGTAATATATTACCATAACATTTATAATTTGTCAATTTATTAAAAAATAAACCTGTTTAGACATTCTGTTATGTAACGTTATTTGTTACATATTGTATATATATTATACTGTGCATGAAGTAAGAGGAAAGAAAATTCAACTCCACACGTATATCACTTTTAAATCAATGCAAAAAATAACAAATTCGCAGCTACTTGTGAGCCATGTTTTCAGACCATTTTTTGTAAGGTTCTTTTCAAGTGCCTCGCTATTTGTTAACAGACTTTTACTGTTCGAAAGTAGTATTTGAAATTATTTTTAAATATTTTGTAGACTTTGTTAACAATGGACCATATGAACAACAATTCTTTTTAAATTTCTGTGATTTCGGAAGTGTATCTATAAATAAAATAAATTCTTCCGTAAGGTTTTGAATATTTTTTCCAAACAAACGGACGTGGAAAAAAAGGTTTAAATATATGGCGCCAAATTCAAATCACATCGTATTAGTTCAATTTGTATGGCGCCAAATTCAAATTGCATCGTATTAGTTCAATTTATATGGCGCCAAATTCAAATCGCATGGCACTAAGTACAAATAACAAATACAAATATTTTGAATCACAAAATGGCAGTCAAAATACAGATATAAAAGTAATGTATATAACAATATTTACTTAAACACATATATGTTTACTTTTTAAAAATTAGTATTATTATTATGAAAGAAAATCTCCTTTTTGGAAAAGCGCGCAAAGCGTTTGGCGCAAATTTAGTCTTCAGGAGATTTGAACGCCATCTTCATACTGCTGGAGAAATACGCAGTGTTTGCTAGGAAATTGACAAAAAAAAAACTCTAAGAAATTGTTATACTTCTACTGTTGGTACTAAAGAACCTTCTGAATCCAACTTAGATGCGCGGAAGAATTCTTCCACAACTGGCTATAACCTTATAACTCTATTATGAGTAATTTTTGTGCACTATGTTTAGGGTTTCATATCCACTTTATTTTTGTAATAAATTCATAACATGTACTATAAGTAACATGATAAATTCGAAAAAGTAATAATATATTGAACGAAAAAAGATTTTATATGTAATTGCGAGTGTACAGCATCTGTAATTTACCGTACTAAAAGCTACCTGAAAATAAAAATTACCTCACGATTTAAGTATCTTATTAATATTTTTATATTCAGAATTTATTAGTAAATAAACTACACTACAATACAATTAAACAAATAATATAAAAAAACGAATAATATTCCAGTTAATCTTCTTACACTGTTCTTTCTTTTACAGTATTTCATAGTTAATAAAATATTATATTGTTAATATAAACTTGAAAAATACTGCATAATATAAATGCGTTTGAAATGATATAGTATAAACAAAATCATAATGATACATAAAATAATACGTCAACAACATATTTTTCAAAATAAAACAACTTTATCTTTTATACACACTAGCATACAAAATCAAATATCATGGGGGAAAAAAAATAAAAAAACAGAGAAAAGTAAAGTATCTAACATCAAGAAGTATTGGTTTGATAGATACATAAATTATATTAAAAATTATGAACAAGTATTGGAAAAAAAATTCCCACGAACAATGCATGTGTATCGTGTATTTAGTATTGGAACTAAAGATTTATTTAGAGATGTAAAAGAGTATTTGGTAATACTGAAAAAACCGACTTCTTCTGAGGCTGAAAATTTAACCGTTGAACAATTACGATTGACATATACAGTGCCCAGGGATTTAATAAAACTATGTCCTGTTCTATTAATATCAGCTGCTCCTTTTACAAATTATATCATTTTTCCTTTGGCATATCACTTTCCAAAACAACTTCTAACTTCCCATTATTGGACATTACAACAAAGACTCGATTTTATGCTATTGGACCATAAGAAGCGATTAAAACATAACAGACCATTATTTAGATGTATGCAAGCAGAACTTCATCGTATTACAAATCAAAAATTGAAAAAACAATGGAACGATATTATTGCATGCCTTGGTAGTGGCACACATCCTCAAGTGGAAAATATTATTGCTTGCTCTGAATTATTTGCTGGACCTCCCTATTCATTAAACAGCCTTAAAAGAAAACATATAGTATGTTGAATTTATTGTAATTAAAATTAAATGTATTTTGTTCAATAATCCTAACATTTTTTGCTCATATTCATTAGTTTTGAAAAGAAGACAATTTATAATTTATCAAGTAAAATAATATTAAACTTCTGGATTATATTTCTAGAAAGAATTGCTCGGTATTCATGATATATCTTCTTGGACACTTTTTAAACAACAAAAATTGATAGAAAGAGGTATGCTAATAAAACGAATGGATCAAGCTATACAAAAACAGGGTGGAAGTATAAAAATGCCAAACGACGAAATACGCTGGGTCTGCATAAGTCTCTAATTGAATATATTTTAAAATTATGTATATAAACCCATATTATATTGTAATTACTATATATTTTTTAATTATAAATGTTTTAGGCACTTTCATTTAGGGGTGTAAGTCCTGCAAATATGTCGATAGAAAGTATGAGAAATTGGCTTGACCAGTGGTTTATTATGTCAAATGCTGTTAATGAAGATACGATCTCATTATTATTACATAGTCCAATATTATTAGCATATAATCATCCTACTAACTGGATTCTTATATACAGTTGAAATAAACTTACTAAATATTAGTTGCTTTCTTATTGTGTAAAAATGTATAGGTATTACAATATTGAAGTAGCTATTTATGTCTAAAATATTTGTATAAATTATTTCATATGACCATGTTCGAGTTTACCAACTTTGTATTCTTACGCAAAAATGTATTATACGTTTATATACTATATTGTAAATATTGTAAGTGTACACGTGAACAAGTCAAAAAAATATATGAAATTTATATCATTTTCTGACAACACATATAAATACTTTGTTAATTATTTATTACAATATTCTCTTTTTCACGTACATAAATTTTGTTTTAATAGAATTATATTTTAGGGACAAGAGGAGAAATGAGACAAAGGTATATAAATAATTATAACATTTATATGTACATAAAATACTTTCATTTTGTTAAATATACATTCTTCATTTACACGAGTGTATATATGTTACAAAATATAATTCTTGATTTTTTTTTTGTGTATATTTGAACATAATAGAATAGAAATCTAATGTTTTAATAACTATAAATATAAATTTGTTACTAATCAAAACATAAGTTGTTTTATCAAATGACAAGAACATGATATATTAGTCAAAATAGATATACACAAATGTACAGAGAACTATAAAAAATCTAGAATTTTATAGATGTAGTATCTACATCAATTGATAGGTATATAAGCAGGCAGAAAACCAATAGGAGGTCGTTTTGATACTGTTGAATTAGAAACTACTTCTAATTCAGTATTATTTTCACTTATTTCTACATCTGTGGTATTATTAGATGTTTCACTTGATATATCAGAACAAGCTATGGATTCTACTCTTTTCATAAGTTTTATTTTTTTCATAATACTTTCTCTTTTTTTGTCAAGAGACTTGTTTAAAGTATCTGCTTGTTCATAATATCTAACTCTGTTTTCATTATTAGAGGAAGAAGTATCCTTTGTAGCAGGAGGAACTACTTGATTACTACATATGTCATACTTTCTTTTCAAATGATTTTGTGTATTAGAAAATGATTGTGATTTATGTGGATAAGGACAATGCTTACCTTTGCTGCACTTGTTGGTTTTCTCAAATTCGGGACACAAATTTTCATGCCGTTGTTTACACTGTAAAAGAAGAAATCTCCAGGTGTTTTGAAATATTGTCTTTTATGCATTATTAATACACAATAAAAGATATACGATGACAGTCTTAATATTTTATAACTAAAATTATTGTATAACAAGGTATATAAAAATAATATATACCTATAAATGCAATAATTGTTTAAAACTTTACATTTACGTAAGTATAGAAAATATTGTACTTACATCACTACCTTTGGCACAGTATCCTTGTAAAAATTCAATACAAATTGGAGTATTGGACGAAACTTTGACATGGCGGTAAGGACAGGCGTCTCGTGTACAGCAACCTTCTAAAAAGTATTTACAAGTTGGCATTTTTTCAGGACCCACATCATGAGATAGTGGACACTTGTCAAGTAAACAATTTCCTTGAAGGAACCTAGGAAAAATGGTTATTGTCAAATATGAAATGTTTATACATAAAGTGAAATGAAACTATAGAAAAATCAACTTCACTTTTTACAGAGAGAAATTTGTTTTTTGTCATGGCGTTTTATGCAAGTTCCCTTTGTATGATTTGAACAGTATCCAAATCTTTGAAATATCAAACAGGGTTGATTATTTTTTTGCATTTTATTACGCAATATCTGTATACTTTTTTGTTTGACTTTATTGCTGTTCGTAAAAAAAGTAATTATTAGTATGAATAATGTATTATGGAACCACAAGAAAGAGGAAGGTAATCATATCAATTACATACCTTATATTGGTTTTATAATTTGTTTTTGATATGTTAGATGACAATTTAAATTTATTTGTATAAAATGCTTTCATATTAGGATTTTCTGACATTTCTTTTGCAGATTTTATTCTACGTAATTTTTTTCCATTAGTAGTAATAACAAATTTATCAGCTTTTAAATTTAATGTTCGTTTTTCTAAATTGAAAATATATGAAAGATAAAGTTTTGTATCACGTATTTTTATAATCTTAATTATAATCTATAAAAACTGTTAAAAATATCTTACTTTTTACTCCATAACTATTACGTACTAACTGATTTTTAGAAGATTTATAAACAATTCCTCCAATTGTTACTAATTGCATTTTATTATTCCTAAAATGTGTGTAGAAGAAATATAAATATTTATTAATCATCAACTGTAATTATTTAACACAACTACGATTACCAAAGTATATCTACTATTTTGTGATACATACACAGCCTTTTTTCGATTAATGCCTACATATTCTTTGTTGTTTGCTTTTGGTATGGTTCTATCAATTCTATACTTGTTTATTTTAGGTTTCACCATTGATGATTTTATTAGAGTAAAATTCCTATTTATCAACTGCTGTGAAGCATTTGATAATTTTGTTCTTACAACTTTTTGAGATATTGGTTTCACAGCTTTTACCAATGAAGTCGAAGACTTCTTAATTTTACAAAGTTCTATTTGAGAAGTATTTAATGATTTTCTTGATCCTCGTTTCACACGTATAAGTTTTCTACGCGATAAAATTAAAATGTTATTATTGCTAACTTTTTTTTGACTTTGAGTAGCCTTTGGAGAATTTGTACTTTTAACAAATTTTAATCTTGAACACACTGGATGTGTGATATTTTGTATTACTATTTTCTTATGCTCCTCTGGTTTCGGTTGTATAGAGGAAGATAGTTTTTTCATTAATTTTGGATTAACATGTACCGATTTTTTTATAGAATTTTGCACAGGACTTTGTTTAGCATTTGCTGTTTTGTTTACCAAATTGCATTGTACACTTTCATTAGATTTTATGACATTATTCATCATTTTTGGATTAATATGAACCAAAGATTTCATACGGAGTTTTGGATTAATGTGTATAGCAGAATTTTGAGGTTTAAAGTTTGGATTAATGTATACATTGGTACTAGTCAATTCGTTGCCTGAAATGTTATTAGAAATTTTGGACAATTGAGATTTATAAAGTGCACTTGCATACTTTTCTGTCTGTGCTAAATTTAAATTTTGATTTGTAATATCTTTTTCCACACAACATAATGTATCCAACGACTTTTTTTTATGATTTTCTATTAATCCTAGAACAGAACAAAATTTAACCTACATTAAAGAAGTTATTTAAGTACATCATTATTGAAGACAATTAGTTAAAGATTAATGTGTGAAAATATTATAAAAAACCCATTAATTTTTAGCATTCATATACTAAGACTGGTTTTAATATAAATTTTATTAGAACAGTCTTTAATGTGTTACTTTCTATTTCTATTAATAAATGGCTCAATGTTTACAATCTTGTAACAGTTAAAAGAATAATAGCTTTTAAAGTTAATGCACACATTTGTCCCCTAGATCTGGATGTAACTTTTTTTTACAATATTTTTAACATGTAAATTTTGTCTTTGTTCATTATTCACGACCAACAAAGTAATTAACGAACCATAAACTTACGTGTCAGATATTGTATTTCTTTCAACAGACTTTCGTTCATATTTAATTATATGAAACTTCACTTTCCAATTATCACTTATTAAAATATTGTAATAACTTTACAATGTAATAAATTTATTTCACAAATCACTGTAACGTGTTGACATTCACCACATTCCTGGTAAGGAAACAAATTTCCACAAACTATATGAAGATAGATGTCGCAACGGTAAGTGTTACTTGCGCTGCATACGTGCATTAGTGCAACTAATTCTTAATATGACGGAACAGCGGAATATTTCAAATTGCATCTTTGTTTTGTCATCGTTAAATGGTTGATTTCACGGTAAATTTTTTAATTTACGCATTCCCGAATATGAGAATTTGTAAATGTAGCAATCTGAAAATTGGGAAAATGGAGTTTTGTGAATTGTGGTTTTGGGAACTTGGCATTTGGGAAATTTAGAGTGCGGGGAATCTGTAGTTTGAGAAGTTTTGAGTATGGGGTATTTGCAGTTGGTGGAATTTAGAGTATATGGAATTCGGAATTTTTGGAATTTGGGATTTTTGGAATTTGGGATTTTTGGAATTCGGGATTTTTGGAATTCGGGATTTTTGGAATTCGGGATTTTTGGAATTCGGGATTTTTGGAATTCGGGATTTTTGGAATTCGGGATTTTTGGAATTCGGGATTTTTGGAATTCGGGATTTTTGGAATTCGGGATTTTTGGAATTCGGGATTTTTGGAATTCGGGATTTTTGGAATTCGGGATTTTTGGAATTCGGGATTTTTGGAATTCGGGATTTTTGGAATTCGGGATTTTTGGAATTCGGGATTTTTGGAATTCGGGATTTTTGGAATTCGGGATTTTTGGAATTCGGGATTTTTGGAATTCGGGATTTTTGGAATTCGGGATTTTTGGAATTCGGGATTTTTGGAATTCGGGATTTTTGGAATTCGGGATTTTTGGAATTCGGGATTTTTGGAATTCGGGATTTTAGATTTTTGGAATTTGGAATTTGGAATTTTTGGAATTTGGAATTTTTGGAATTTGGAATTTTTGGAATTTGAGAATTTGAGAAATAGAATTTAAACGTTTGAAAGATTAGAATTGTGAAATTTTGTAATTTAGAAGTTCATGCTTTCGCTAATAATATGATCATAATCGATACGTATTTTAATCGATAATATTGATAACGAGTACAAATACAATAAATTTATATAATACGCGCTTTTTCATACCATTCGACGTAAGTTACACGCAAACGCAGTAGATATTGATCTACATTCATGGATATACTGGGTCGCATATAAAAGCTTTGCAACTTACAATTATATTTATATATATAGGGTGTCCCAAAATAAATAATCCCGCTGACTTTTTATATAAAAAATATTGAAATAAGTATCAAGTTTTCATTTTTTTTTAAATATCAATCGAAAAACTTTTATTTGAATTTAAAATTTTATAAGGTTTTAATTGAAGAGTTTTATTTTTAATCGTAATTAATTTTGATAGAAAAAAATGATAATAAGCAATTAATACAACAAAATATAAATACATAATTTTATTTAAATTGAAATATATTAAAATAAGTACCAAGTTTAAATTTTTCTTTTTTAATATTAAATGAAAAATTTTTAGTTTGACTTTAAATTTCAAGGGTATTAATTGAAGAATTTTATTTTTAAAAACTTTTAGTTTTAGTTTTAATAAATATGAATGTATAATTTTGTTCAAATTGAAACACATCAAAGTAAGTATCAAGCTTTAATTTTTTTTTAAACATTAACCGAAAAATTTTTATTTAAATTTTAAATTTTAAGGTTTTTACGTTAAATACCTTTGATTTTAACAAAATATTAATATTAATTTTAATGTACTTTAATTTAAACAAATTATATATTCATACTTGCTATATGAGTAATTTATTATTTTGCCAAAATCAAAACTAAGGTTAAAACCCTTAAAATTGTATTAGAGTATATTAATAGCCACGCAAAATCGTAAACTTGTTGACGAATGTCTATCAATCCAATTTTAAATACGTCGAGACAGATGATGTTTAACACATTCAGTCGTGATCGAATTTTAGAACAGCCTCAAAAAACATCCCGTGTGTATAAAGACCGAAACGAAAATTAAAAGTGTTATTCCAACGTTTATTCCTTCATTTGCATTACGTTTGTGTGTCTACGTGGAAATGTTGGTCTTTGAAAATTGATTGGAAATACTAATTTAACTAAAAGTGAAATATTGTATTCTATAATCGATACCTGAACTCGTGAAGCAATGTATTAATTAAAAAAAAATATATCCACTTGTCAGATTTTATTAACAAATTGTGAAATGTTGTTCATACTTGAAACAAAAAAGAAATAAAATTTTTATTAAAAGCAAATTGAGATAAATAATAAAAATAAACATTCAACATTCAGTATAAATAAACAAAATTATTTTTTTCAAATTAATATAAAAAGAGAACAAAATATTTTTTATTAAAATCAAGTTTCAACAATTTAATTAAAACTTGATAAAATATTAAATATACTTTATTTTAGAATATGAATAAATAATTTTTCATTTTCATTTTTAAATGATTTTTAGAAATTCATGAAAACTTAATTTTATGAAATATAAATTATAGGTTCATATTTCATAATGTAAATATAAGTTAAAAATAAATTTATTAACAAATTTTTTAAAATAAAATTATACGAATAAAAAATGTGTTAATATGTTTTTTTAACAGAAAAATTAGTCGATGAATTACTTTTATAGAAAATGTAAAAATGAAGAAAATTTGATTAATAAAAATATGATTATTAAATTTCAAATATTATGATATTGAAGTTTAAATTGTTAAAGTTGACTACCGAATGCCCTGATTCTGTTTGAATTGAGATAAACTCGGAACAGTGATGATAGACAGGGTGAAATAAGTAGAGGAAGACGTCTGACCCATTCATGTCACATTTTCTCCTTTCCTCCTTTCATGGACTGTATGACGGGGTCTTTCAAATTTTTATACGTCGGAACGAACAAGGTTATTCTTTTCTTAAAGATTTGATACTCAAAAATTGTAAAACTGTAAAATTGTAAAATTGTAAGACTGTAAAATTGTAAAATTGTAAAATTGTAAAACTGTAAAATTGTAAAATTGTAAAATTGTAAAACTGTAAAATTGTAAAATTGTAAAATTGTAAAACTGTAAAATTGTAAAATTGTAAAATTGTAAAACTGTAAAATTGTAAAATTGTAAAATTGTAAAACTGTAAAATTGTAAAATTGTAAAATTGTAAAACTGTAAAATTGTAAAATTGTAAAATTGTAAAACTGTAAAATTGTAAAATTGTAAAATTGTAAAACTGTAAAATTGTAAAATTGTAAAATTGTAAAACTGTAAAATTGTAAAATTGTAAAATTGTAAAACTGTAAAATTGTAAAATTGTAAAATTGTAAAACTGTAAAATTGTAAAATTGTAAAATTGTAAAACTGTAAAATTGTAAAATTGTAAAATTGTAAAATTGTAAAATTGTAAAATTGTAAAATTGTAAAATTGTAAAATTGTAAAATTGTAAAATTGTAAAATTGTAAAATTGTAAAATTATAACATTGTAAGATTGTAAAATTATAAAATTCCAAATTTCTATAATTTCAAAGCTTCGACACATTAAAAATTCAAAGTTCTAAGATTTTTAAGATTTCCAAACCTCAAAGGTTCAAAAATTGTAAGCTTCTAACATTTCAAAATTGTAAAATTACAAAGATTACAAATTTTAAATATAAAAAATTCTTATGTTTATAAAAGTTTAAAGATAAACTTATTAAGTTACAAAGTTTCAATTTTCAAAATTTCAATTTTCAAAGTTTCAAGCATTTAAAGTTCTAAAGTTCAAAAATTCAAAAGCTTCAATATTCCAAAATCCTAACGTTCCAAAATTACAATGTTCCACAATTCTATTATTAAACATTTTCAAAGATTAAACATTGTGAAGTTTCAAAACTTCAGTGTTCCAAAATTTTAATGTACCGAAATTTGAATATTTCAATGTTTAAAAATTTTTAAATTACATAATTACAATATTTCAATATTAAAATGTTCAAATATTCCAAAAATACAAATTTCCAAAATTCCAGTATTCCAAAATTTCAAAATTATAATATCCCAAAATAACAGTACCTCAGAATACTAATATTTCAGAATTAAAATATATCAGAACTCCAATACGTCAAAATTTCAATATTTTAAAATTCCAATATTTAACAATACCAATATACTAAAATTTCAGTATTGCAAAATTAAAATAATTCAGAATTCCAATACCCCAAAATTCTTATACCACAGAATTTCAATATCCCAGAGTTCCAATACCCCAGAATTCCAATACCCGAGAGTTTCAATGCTCCAGAGTTCCAACACCTCACAGTTCCATTACTCCAGAATTCCAATACCCCAGAATTCTAATACCCCAGAGTTCCAATACCCCAGAGTTCCAATACCCCAGAGTTCCAATACCCCAGAATTCCAATACTCCAGAGGTCCAATACCCCAGAATTCCAATACCCCAGAGTTCCAATACTCTATTCCAATACTCCAGAGTTCCAATACTCTATTCCAATACTCCAGAGTTCCAATATTCCAGAGTTCCAATATTCCAGGGTTCCAATACTCCAGAGGTCCAATACCCTAGAGTTCCAATACCCGAAAGTTCCAATACTCCAGAATTCCAATACCCCAGAGTTACAATTCCCCAAAATTCTAACATCTCAGAATTCCAATACCCCGGAGTTCCAATACCCCAGAGATCCAATACCCCAGAATTCCAATATCTCAGAGTTCTAATTCCCCAAAATTCTAATACCCCAATATTCCAATATCCCAGAATTCCAATAACCCAAAATTCCAATACCCCAGAATTCCAAACTTCAAAAATCTCAAAGTTTATCAAACTTCGACTTATCAATGAATGTAACACATTCCCGGAATAAATACATATATCCAGAACTAAACATTAAAACCAATTAAAAAATATTTGTTCAAACCCCCTACTAAATCCTCATATTACTCTACAAATTTCCCTGACCTCCTACATCAAAAATACCCCAATTCTTTTCCGTCTACCCCAATTTCGAACATCATTAATTAACGAGTCAAACACCTACAAAACCTCGACCAACACGCCAAAGTCTGCAAAAGCCACCCTGTATATCAGTGAATCGAAATCGATGAAGCGTGCCATATACCCTCATAATAACCGAACAATTATAATTTTTGCACAAGCACACTGCGACTTTATTCCTACAGTGGGGTCAAGATGACCCGGTGCATCCGGTGTGCTATTGAGAGGTGAAAAATGAAAGGACAGAAGCGCGCAGCATCAGAAGAGCGCAGGCCTCGTTCTTCCAGCATCATCGGGGACAATCTCCATATCAGTACCGAAAATTTTCACGGTGCAAGGTGGAAGTCTTCGAAATCGGCACCGATCGTTACCGCGAGACTTCTTTTTCCCTCTATTCTTCCTCTCCCTAAGACATTTTTCCCCTACGGTGGTGTTTTATGTCAGTGCGTACATATGTATCTATCACGCTGCACAAGGGACTACGATTTGCTCGCGACGAACCACGGGATAAACTTTAGCACGATCTTCTGTTGTTTGCTTTCTTAATTCAACAGAAGCATCGGAACATCGATCCCCTACACCGATGGCAGATCACGATAACATTTACGACGACGAGGTAATTCGTTTGCATTCTACTTTAATTTTGTACTTGGATGAATTTGGAGCGTGGTCTGGCGAAATGGTGATCTTTTGGTTAATCGGTTTGTAGGGATGCAGTTTTGGGGGATGAAAATTTCAAGTGAAATTTGTTTGATTATTGTGGGAGATGAGGTGGTTTTTGGATTTGACAGATTTTTTTGGGGGTGGTTTTTGAGTTGGTTGAAGTTTTTGGGGGACGTTTTTGAGTTTGTGATCGAGGGAGAGTAATTCGTTATTTGATTTAGGTGAATTAGAATTTATTGATCGCTATTTTTTGTTAAGTTATCGAAATTGAAATTAGTTTTTATTATATTGTGGGTTCTAGATGTAGGAATTTGAAATGAATTTTAAGAATTTTCATAATTTTATTTTAAGAGTAAACGAGTATAATTTTCTTATGATTCATGAACGAAAATATTTTGTTAAACTGGAACAAAAATTGTAATATTACAAAAATTGTAATAGTGTTTAATTTTATTCCTAGCAGAAAGTTTAAATATAATTTATAAAGAATTAATGATAACTAGTCTACATTTAATTTTTTTCAAATTGTTTAAATTTTTTTATAGCAGTACAATATTTATTTATTTAAAAATTAACATTTTAAGTAGCAATTTATTAATTGCATAAAATGATCAATTTTTAGTATGAAAATATAGAAAATTGTTTATCTGTCAAAAAAAAATTAATATTTTAAAAGTAAATTGTTTAACAAAATTGAAATTGATATTTTAAAAGATTTACAGTAGTTATATGTATTAGTATAATTTGTACATAAAAATTTGTACATTAAAGATTAATAACATCTCTCATGTATATTTCCATATTTATTTCATATTGTTCCACATTTCATTATACATGTAATATAATTAAGAAATCTTCCTAACGTATATTTTTATAAAAATAAATATTTTCTAAAAACGGTAGAATAAAATATGTTCACCCAGAAACAGATATAAAGAACAAACAATATTTATGTATTAATAAATATTTAAATTTAATATTTAATAAATACAAAAATAACATTTGTAATAAATTTAACATCGTTATTGATTTTCTTCGGCAAAAATTGAAGAAAGTGTACTTAACGGAAAAAAGTAGAAAGTTTAAACAATATAGAATATCATACTTTATATATTACAATATACTAGTCTGTAATACTTATATATAATTAATTATTAAAACGAGAGGTTAAGCATTATATATTTAAAATACTAAATATTATTTAAAGATTCATTAATATTGTTTAAAGAAATATTTTAATTTCATAAAATACATTAAATAAGAGCAATAAAATTGAATATAACAGAAAAGATTCTTTTGTACGCGTTTTAGAGGTAATAATGTAAATGGACTCACCGACTTTGATTTTAATATTCTTCCGCACGTTCACGCGCAGATTGTCATCGTAAGCTATTATTCTGGCAGTCACTTCATTTGTTTTTCTTTGTAGAATTTGCATTCATAGTAGCACTGCCGATGTTACCTATTACATTCAGTTATAATGTTGTTGAAAAAGAAATTCGAAAATACAATTATTAAAAAAATAAAATAACTGAAAATTATTGAAAAATTAAAGGAAAGGTTAATGTTAAAAAATTAGAAGGACAAAGGTTAATGTTAAAAAGTACTATAGCAAAAAGATATAAACAAAATTGTTAATAATATATTTACTTATTATTTAAAAATAAAATTGCAATATTGTCTACTATTAGTTACACTATTTATACATTTACAACTATCTTTACATACTTTTCTACATCTGTATCAAAATGGAATAAAAAGAATAACTAATATGTTATATTAAAAATTCAAATTTTTAGAAGCGGTTATTGTTATAACATAAAATCAATAATTAACAGATCTATAAATATAAGGAGCTAACATTGACCCACTAATCTAAAATAAATCACATTAATCAATTAATTGCTAAATTAGATGTATTACATAAATTAAGCAGTGGATTATTATCATAAATGTATATCTGTAATAACTAATGGTTGATATTATATAAATTATATAGTTTTTTTAAGTAATAAAATTCTTGTACTGAATAACATAATGATTAATTTAAAGAAAATAAGTATATTCTTGCTATAATGCAACTGTATCACCTAAGAAGCAAAACTGGTTTTGAAGAAAGAAATAATAAAAATAAGTAATAACTGGTTAAGAACTTCAAGTTCTTTGGCCTTGAATAATTTTCATATCAAAATAGAATTATAGGAAGAATTATATTTATAATTATTTATAAGGAGATGGCCTGAATAGCATTAAATTTAATAAAATACATGAAGAAATATTGAGTTTTTACAGAAATAATATCATTTTACTTGTAGTCAAATATTCTTCAAAGTAAATTATTCTTCTTAGATTATTAATTTTCACTAAAAAATAATGAAGCTTTGATGAACAACGTTGTTCCAGAATCAGTAACTTAGCTAAAGTTGAGCTTCTTGTGGTGTTTTCCCTTAATTGTACTAGAATTTAAGTGCTTTCCAAGCACTCAGTAGTTGCTGAGGTTTGAGCATTAAGAACCAGAACAAAGAAGCTCAGATTTAAGTTCTATGAAGTTCCTACTTTCATTATTTACTTCCAGTTTTTATTTTGTGCTGCTTCTTTCATTATTTATTCTCTGCTCTTATTTCATATCAACAATTATATGGAGCTATTAAAAGATTTTTATTATTATGCATTAAAGTATGGACATATATTTTTGATTTATTAATTATAGTAAAATCTCTTTATTTTATTGTAAGTTATTTAATTCTCATTCTGAGATATGAAAGGTTTTATTAAATTAAATGAACATTTATTTCATTTATATATTTGACTGTTTGTTAGAGTAAACTTATTTGTACTATTTTTTCTTTTAAAAAACAATCATGTAAGAAATAATCATGTATCTACACATACAAGAATCTTTAAAATTTGTCTTACACCATTATTACTTGCACCTCCTCATATGTGTGTATCATAATTACTGAACATTGGCGTTAGTGAGTACCTTTGTGATAGGAGCTAGTGTCAGCAAATCCAAATCAGCGGAACTGGCGTGGAATTTTGATAGCTCTACTTGTGATCGTTGCGGTCCTAGCTTTGATTGTAACATCAGTTGCCTTATTAACGCCACCAGATGAGGGACCTAGAGTACAAGGTGCTAGACTACGACTTTCTGAGGTACATAGTACACTATTTTGATATATAAACACATATCAGTTATGCTATTATATATCTACATCATTAATGTGAAACAAGTTATAAAAATAAATCAATAATGTTAAATAAATAATTTTCAGGTACTTTCTGGAGAATTAACACCACTCCTTTTTAATGGATCATGGGTAAGCGGACAGCACATTTGCTATCGAGATGTGTGGGGTGGAATTTCACTGTTGCATATTTCTCAAAAGAACATCACTAGTCGCAGTCTAATGCCGAATGAAACTTTTGTAAGCTTTACTTGTTTTTAATCTTTTATTATCATTTTAATAATGTAAAGTTTAACGTATTCAAATACTTACATTTAGTAGCAAATATCCATATACTATTTAGGTCTTTTAGTAAAACACAACACTAATAGATATTCTGTATACAGAGGATATTGAATCCTGCCAAGTTCTCGTTGTCACCGGATCGTAAATACTTACTTCTTGCGCACAATGTGAAGAAACTCTTCCGATATTCGTATTTAGCGCAATATACAATTTATGATGTAAATACACGGTTAGTAAAAGTAATTTATAAGTAAAGTACTTTCAAATTATTGAACCAGTTTTCCTATCACATCTAACTGCAAGTAGATGAAATTTTTTTTATAAATTTTGTAATTGTGTAAAGACTACAGTTATTGCTCATGAATTGATTTCTTATGATTAGTAACTGATTAAAAACTGGCAAAACACTGAAAAAATAAGTAATTAATTGTGTAGCAGATACATATACATTAGTATATAACTTATGGAAAAGCTATTTCTGAAGCTGCAGTGTAGTTATAAAAACTTTGATAATGTATACCAAGAGTGATACAATTATTATTTTATTGTTACAGGGAAACGATACCATTAACTCCACATCCCGAGAAAGAAGCACATCCTTATCTTTTGTTAGCAAAATGGACTCCACGTGGTCATGGACTAGTTATGGTTCAAGACTATGACATTTATTATTTACCAGGTCCTACAAGTAACACAGGATATAGAGTTACTAATACAGCAGTTCCTGGTATATTATCAAATGGATTACCAGACTGGCTTTACGAAGGTAACTTATTATAAATTCTATAGTATATTATATGATTTCATTATTACTGCATCAGATGCAATTAATATATACTTATTTTTTATTTGATAGAGGAGATTCTGCATTGTGCTGAAGCAATTTGGATGTCACCAGATGGTCACATGATGTTATATGCCTCTTTTAATGATTCGCTAGTTGAAGAAATGCATATATCTTGGTTTGGTGAAGGGAACAAAGCTCTTTATCCTGACATACGATCTCTACGTTATCCTAAAGTAATTTTGTTTTTGTATACTACTATTTGTCAGAAATAATTTGTATAATAAAATATTAATTTTGTCTTTACAGCCAGGGACACCGAATCCTGTGGTGCGACTGTATGTAGCAGACTTGGCAGATCCAAAGAATATACATACGAAGGTAGTGAAACCACCACCTATCATCGAGCATGTGTAAGTTTATTTATAAAGTTTGGAGTATGGTGTGCTTGAACAAAGTTTCTCTCATTATTTTTTCCTCATTAGGTGTATTTATTCGTCTTATTAAAAAAAAAATGAACAAAATTGAAAATGTTTGAATAGCGATTGCACTTTGTCGTTTTTTACAAGAAACGTTTAGATGTTTGTATGGTGACACTCTGAAGGTACCTCAAAAAAGGAAGCGTTTTTCTTTGGCAAGATATTTTAAAGATATACATGAGGCGTAGTTTTTCTGGCTTAAAATGAGGTAGTTTTTTAAATATATCTCTAATGTTTTAATAATGATTCAAATTTAGCAGTTCATACATAACAAAATATGTAAAATTTGCACATCCATAAAATAGTACTATCGTTAACATAAAAGTAATTTTTGTTTCATATTACATTAGAAATATTAGATTTTAAAAATTAAACAGTAGATATTTCTCAAACATTAAAAACAATTTCAAGAATAGATATTTTTAATAAAGTAAAAAAATATATTAAGTATTTTTATATAGTCATTTTTTTTATATAATATAAATGTTTTATATAGATCTCTTGTACTTTTTATGTAATATCTATAAGCATGACTTTTGAATTTATGTAATAACTAGTAATTTAAAGCAAACATTTGAATAGCTCATAGAAATTACCTCGTTTTAATCCTGAACATATGATATATGTAGACAATATTTTATTTCAATATTTAGTACAGAGATGATTATTTAATTGAGTTTAGCATTTTTCAATTATAAAACTGTTTAGTTAGTATGCACCATAGAAATACCTTTCCCTTTTATCTGCTTTATTTATTAGTCTTAAACATAGCTTCCTTTTTGCAGTCAATACAGTAACGTGGAAGTTAGAACATTAAAATCAGAAACTGAATAAAGTAATAAGTCAAGCATCATACATGTACATTTCATTATTATATAAATAGTTAATTCTCACTAGTTTGCCTAGATATAATAAGCTACTAGCAGTAATATATTAAGTTGCATTCTTATAGACTTAATTGCTATTAAACATTGTGTAAGTCTGTTTGAGTTAAAATATTCTAATATTTAATTATTAAGTATACAAATGTATTGATTATAATGTTTGTAAATGTTTGTGTCCATTAACAGTGAACATTATTTCACAACGGCTTCCTGGGTGTCTTTGACAGAAGTATGCATAACATGGTTAACACGTGCACAAAATATTTCTGTTGTAACCATCTGTAAGAGTGCAATGTGGCATTGTCAGGTATAGTGTAGTCATTAAGTTTGACTTTTGTTTTTAAAATAACTGATCACTCATAGAGTAATTTTTAATATTGTTTCATGTAGGAAATTCAAAAAATAGTAGCTGAAGATCGTGGCTGGGTAGATACTCCTCCTGAAGCACCAATTTTCTCAGCAAATGGTAGCAGTTACATTGCAATAAGTCCAGTTAAGGATGGTTCAGCTGGTTATTATAAACACATTGTTTGGGTGAATGTGGCTCGGAAATTGGTTGTTCCACTCACTCATGGAAAATTTGAGGTCGCTAAGATAGTGGCATGGGATCAAACAAATAATACTATGTGAGCAATATTTCACTGAATATTAATTTTTTTTTTAAATATACTATTTATAAATCAATATGTTATATATAACAGATGATATAGTATTTTTGCTTAAATCTAATGTAGTTCTTCTACATAGATACTTTATAGGTATTCCACCTATGAAGCCAGGTCAAAGACATCTTTATTATGTGAGTTCATTATTACCACATGTGGGTTCATCTTTACATCCTGCGGTTTGCATTACGTGTACCGAAACAACTGAGAGAAATCAAAATCAACATAGAACACTTTCATCGGGTCATCATAGTTCTTGGGCAGAAAATAGTTATATACATGACCATTATGAGACACAAACAGAAAATACACAAAATGCTGATCAAGGACAGCCCAAAGAAAATGTTACAAAAAAACAGAAATCGAAAGTACATGCTCCCCCAAGTAAGTTCATTATATTTTTTTGAAGTTAGCAATTAAATTTATACATATATCATTTATGTTTTCATTTTCAGAATTCACTGATCTGCCTTGCCAGTATCATAATGCTATCTTTCCACCAGTTGGTACTGATTATTTTGTCCTGGAATGTTATGGACCAAGTATACCAACTGTTTCTTTATACAAAACTGATTTTCCAATGCCACGTCCAATTTATGTTTTGCAGAATAATACATTATTACGAGTACGTTTTTAATTCATTTTGTTAAGGATATTTTCAGATAGCTGTTTTTTGGAAACTTATATAATATCATACAACATCTATTTCTTTATCCATATGCCATTTTCTATTTGTTTCATAATATTTTCTGCAGAAACAGCTTGCAACTGTTAGTTTACCAGTTGTACTTATTTAATAATTATTTAATATAATTGACAATTTGTTCTAGGAACGAATTTCCAGGCTTGCGCTTCCACAAGTGAAAACATTCCCCGTTCAAATAAGTGGTGGATACAACGCACAAGTAAAATTATATTTACCACCTGGATTAAGAGAAGATGAAATCACTCGATATCCTTTAATTGTGCAAGTGTAAGTGTGTTTAACCATTAAATTATACTTAATATTATATTACAAGATAATAGTCAAATCCTTTTTTCCTTGGTTATTTATTCTTATTTTATGTTCTTGTAGATATGGTGCTCCAGGCTCTCAATTAGTAACAGAAATGTTCAAAATTGACTGGAACACCTATTTAGCTAGTAGAAAAAATATGATTGTTGTGCAGATTGATGGTAGAGGAAGTGGGGGCCAAGGGTACAAGTTTCTTCATGAAGTCTACTACAGGCTTGGTTCTGTAGAAGTTGCTGACCAACTTGAAGTTACAGAGTAAATTATTGTTGTTTATTCATTGTGGATATAAAAGATATTCACGCATGCAACCAATACTTTTTAATGCTTAGTATCATTTACAATCTATAGTCAAATTAAATTTCCATTGCTTCGCTTTTGCTAAATGATGAAATGAGAAAAATGAATGTGAGATATATGTACATATAGGTGTCATGAATATTACTAAAACTTTAATGATAAAATTTATAGATATTTGCGGGATTCGTTGCATTTTGTGGATAAACAACGTGTTGCTATTTGGGGTTGGAGTTATGGAGGTTTTGTAGCTGCTCTTGCGCTGGCGCATCCTGAGCAAGATGTCTTTCAATGTGGTATAAGTGTAGCACCAGTTGTGTCATGGAAATTATATGGTTAGTAGAGCTCAATATCATTTTAGAGTCTTGTATGTCTGTTCAATGTATGTTAATTTATACACATTTTATTTTTGTGATCATACAGATTCAGCATATGCTGAAAGATACATGGGGTTACCAAACGTTGTGTCAAATTACAAAGGTTATGCTGAGTCAGATGTGTATGATAAAGTGGAACACTTAAGAAATAAGATGTTTTATTTGGTACATGGTACTGCGGATGATAATGTTCAGTTCCAACAATCCATGGCACTTGCTGGCCATCTAGCGAAGAAGGGAATTCTCTTCCGGCAACAGGTACTGTTTGTAACTAATATCTTAGATACAATAATATTTATAGTAATAAAAATAGATCAGCTGTACAACTGCTAACTATTGTGAATCAAGATAGAGTATTGATTATATACTAATTTTTAGTATAATAATATTTGATGTGCTATCAGGTATATCCAGATGTGAGCCATACATTGGCAGGGGTAAAAGGTCACCTTTATCTATCAATGGCTCAGTTTTTGGATGACTGTTTTCAAAAGCAAGTACCTAAAGATACGAAAGCTGGTCTTATCAGCGGTGGATCTAGTTTTTAGTTGTAAATAATGTGATTCCAAAAACAATCCAACGTTTGTGAAGGAATTCCATACACAAAAATTACATCTAAATATCTCCAAATTGTGTTCCGTTTATTAGTACCTTTAGGAGAAAGATATTTTCGCGTTATTTTATATATTAAATTGATATTGTAAGAAGTGGGTAGAATAGTTGAAATTACGTTTGTTATATTTTAAATTAGAAATCAAATCCAAATGAATAAAAGCAAAGGATTTTAATATTATTATACAAAATTATTCTATCATATGTATTTATAGACACAATTCTTATATTTGTTATAATGTTTTAATATTTTATTGACGTTAATAGTTGCATTTTATTTATGACAACAATGTATGACATTAACATTGTGTTACGTTACATTGTTATTTAAACATATTTTACATAAGTTGATATATTTTTATGATTTAATAACAGCAGTGAAATTTTACAATATGATACACAAAGGTGGGAAGATAAATGAAGTGAAATATTAAAATAATGAAATTCAGTTGCAAAGAAATATCAATATAATAGTAACAGTAGCAATAATATATCATCTAACAGCTTTTATTCATTTAGGTATTGGTTTTCTTTTACATCCAGGTTCGTAAGAATAAAAACCATTTTAAACATCAAATGACTTTATTGAAGAAGTATATGCGTGACTTGTCGTGATTGGGAAACAAACATTACCGGAACGAGGTAAAATAAAAGGTAATTATATCTCTTCATCGAGTCGTACGATGAAAAATTCATGAACTCGTGAGTACTCGATGCAAGGGTAACTTATTTCTTCTTTCGTTGAAATTCCTGTAGTTAGTTGCACGCGTGTGCGGACAACATAGATTGTCGCGTCTAGGCTTATTTCTCAATACTTCTTTTCTTCAATCTCTTGTGTCATAAGAAACATTCGTTTCATTGGAAATTCATGTAATTTCTCTCACAACCGTTTACTCTAACCATTCTAACGCATACGTTCCTCATAACGATTAACGTAATAACATTGTAAACAGTATTAACCAAACTCGAGGAACAATAAAGAAATTTTCTAATACTTACATCTCATTAATTGAACTAAATAAAATATAGAATACATTTGCGGCAATAAGTCTCGAAATATAATAATAATAATATTAATAATAATAATAATGTACATTATGTTATCTGAATGTGAAAACCGATTAAAACAAAGTAATCACAAGGTTGTATAATATTAATATTCAAATGTAACTGTGAATCAAGCTACGTGCGAACTTTGTGTACGACTTCCTTCGAACAGTGAGACACATCTAGGGGAATAATTTTAGTTTTCACCGCCAAGGGAAACTAAAATAGTCGATAGATTTCATTGTTTATTTTTTTTTTGGAAGAACGATCGATTCGATCAGTAGTCGGACATAGATTTGACGATTTTCTTATTGGAACATCTGCCGAGATGCAGTAGCATGTGGTTCTTGAGATTGGTAGGTTTACTGAAACCGCGGCTACAAATATGGCACCTAAATGGCCATAGTCCATTATGCACATACATATGACTTTTAAGATCTCCGGGCGTGGGGAACGACTTGGAGCATTGTGAACACTTGTGTGGCTTTTCCTGAAAAAGAAAAGAAAAAAAAAAGAAGAAAAGAACATAAAAAATGTCTTTCAATGGAAACTTCAAGAATTAATTCATGTCTTTCAGTAGGGATTTTAATCAGATCATTCTATGAACGAGTTGAAGAAAATTACTATTTTGAAAACTAATGCAATCTTACAAACGCACCACTATTCGAATAATGTAGCTTTAAAAGCGTACTATAAATTAATTGCTTTCTTTATCGTAAATGTTAATCCGTTTGTATTTTTTACACGTCGTAAATTTATTTGTTAAACTTTTTCGTCTGTGTATTGTAACTTTATTGTTAGTATAATATTTATTATTGTAGAAATGATCCGTTAAATTATAAGTTTAATCTTAGTAGAAAGATAATATGTATTCGGATATTGTAAATTATACTTTGGATCGTTGAAGAATATTTTGAAGAGGAATGAACAAATATATTAATATAATTGAAAAAAAAGAGATTTCTTCTATAGTACAAAATAAGAATAAAATTCTAAATTTATTTTTACTTCTTCAATATAAATAAAACAAATGTAAAATCTTTATAGAGTACTATATTGATCTAATAGTAATTATATAAGAACAATCATCGTAAGAAAAATTTATTGAAAATAAATGCTGCTCGTTGATGTATAAATTACATTTAAGAATGTTAAATTTGAAAGAATAAAATGGAAGACTTATCCCCATATGTGCTAGATATATTTTTATAAACATTTAATATTCCTAATTTTTATATTATTTTTTGGTATGTTTAATTTCATTTTATTTTCGATACGTAAATTTAAATATTATTCAAGCTACGACTTTTATAATTTAAATACTATATTTAGTAATTAAATGCATCTCAATTTTTACCAGATTAAAATTTTTATTAATTGTATAAGCTTTACATATAAACATTTTTTGAATAAATTGTTAGAACTAAAATCACACTAATACATTAATATTTTGTATCTTATTTGGTTTCAAAACTATAAGATTTTCTATAGAAAATAATATTTAATTTTGCAAAAGTAATAAATTAGAATAGTCCATATAAAACATTAAAGTATTTATCGAAGAAAGATAAAAAGAATGTATTCTTGAATGGAGATACGCAACGCGCATGCGCACGTTACGTGCAGCGCATGCGCAGTACGAACTCATTCTTCATTGAAGAAAACAATTTTTTACCCTTTTCCATAAATACTTGAACTTTCGCAATATTTTAGACTCGAACAAAATAAAACTTGATCCACAGCATTTTCTAACACATCAATAACTAAAAAGTAATCGTTACTTAAAGAAATATGACAATACATTACGAACGAGAAGTATTTTCTTTCATTTTCTTCTCATAAATTTCTCGTAAGAGACTTGAAGCAAGCACAGTCGATTAAAATACGTAGACTAATATTTTTTTCAGCGTCGCGAGGGTGGCATTTCAAAAGAACAAAACGGCACGTTAAATGTTGTTCTATCGGCCGCGGTTTATTATTCCCAGTTCGATCATCGAATCGATCAAGAGCAGAGGGAAGAGTGTTCGCGAAAACACGATGAAAAGGTAGCAGGGTTGTCGGTTTGAAGGAAGTAAGGAAAGAGAAAGGAAGAGAACGCGAATGGAAGTCAGTAGGAATGAAAGAAGATGGCAGGGCGGATAGTATGCAGGTAAAGGTGGACGAGATAAAGGCGGAAAGCGATGTTCACGTAAGATCGAAAGAGAACCATGAGGGGACTGCCTCCGGTTATATTCTCCGTCTCCCTAATTGGATTGCATTCCAAGCAGTAGCGAGTAATGGACCAATTACAGTAGCTGATGGCAGAGCAACCTATATGGCTCCCGAGATATCATTACTTCGGGTGGATTAGAGAAACTCATAGGGGGTTTCCGCTCTGATAAAGAAAAACTTCGACTGCTCTTTTACCAACTCGCGCCTCGTATTACGCCGAGTGTACCGGTTTCCTTACGTTTTCCGATCACCACCGGCTTTAACTCCTGCCAGATAACTGAGAATAAAATCAAATCAAATTCCATGCGATTCTTGCTCCTGACAGCGGCAATTCTTCCAGTTTCTTCGAGGATACGTTTTAGAAATATTTTATTGCGTTTTTACACTTATTTACCCGAATTTTTTTATGGTTAATGTTCTATAATCATCTTACGTGAAATATCACTTTTATCATACATTTACGTAAAGCGTTTTTTTACTGTTAAGTATAGGTTATATATCATTTTTATTAAAATCTATTTTTTAGGTTAATTGAGAGCAGCATGACATCCTGAAGATACATTTGATTTTTTAAAATTAGTTTTACACTGTAATAGATGTTCTTCTCTTTATCGTTTTGTTTCATATTGTATCTCATTTATTCTACTTCTACTTTCGTTTCATAATTTTACGAAAATTCATCGTTTCACACAAGGGCGGTTAACCTAATTAATGGTCACTATGTTTGTCAGTAATTTTTTAGACAATTCTGTAAATATCTTGTTACAAATCTTGAAAGCCTTGGAAAAACTTGATTGGTCTTAACGAGTTTTAAAGATCTTTGAAACCTTGAAAGACCTTGGACAACTTGCATGTGAATGAAAAAAAAATATTTTTTTTTGTTTTTCTTTTTTGGCAAGCACATGGAGTAGATTGGAAGTTATGATTACATGGGCAAATCTTGTTTCTTAACAAAAAAATTATAATTATAATTATAATTTCTTATATAATTATAATTTCTAGTAATTATAATTTCTTATTTATATAGTATTAAAATGGGAGGGGAAAATTGCAAGATTGTAAAAATAGTAAAGTAATTGTAAAATAAAGTGATTGTAAAAATAGTAAATAGTAAAGTCATGAAATTGTAAATTGTAAAGTTGTGTAACTGTAAAAGTGCAAAATTATAAAATTCTAAAATTGTATTAATTACAAAATTGTAAGACTAAGATTTTCAAGTTGTGTAACTTCAAAAATGTAAAATGATAAGATTATAACTGTGTGAAGATTATAAGATTATAATGATGCAATTATAAAATTACAAAATTGCAAAATTGAAAATTTATAAAATTCTAACACTGTAAAATTATAAACTTACATAGTTGTATGATTATATAATTGTACAACTATAAGATTGTACAATAACATAATTATATAATTGCAGAATTATTATGTTGATAAATTATAAAAAGGTCAATAAAATTGTAAGACTGTAAAACTGTTAAATTGTAAAGCTGTAAGCCTGTGACTGGAAATTTGTAAAACTGTGAATTTGTAGAATTGTAAACTTGTAAACATATAAATTTGTAAAATTGTAAACTTATAAATTTATAAACTTTTAAAATTATAAAATTGCAAACTTACAAAACCATAAAATGACAAAGTCACGAACTAATAAAATAAATTCATAACATTAAATTACAAACACATAAAATCATGCTAATAAAAGCCTGATAAAACAACACGATTATGCAATGAAATGATGAATTATCAAGCACCTAAACAAACATTAAATCCGCTACGCATCCAATTACCATCTTATAACGAATAAAATACTTGTAACAATAGGTGATTGTAATATCGATGTTTCGGTTAAAAGCAACCCGTCTGTAACTTACCTTTATGTGAGTCATCCGATGATAATAGAGATTGGAGGAGGCCGTAAACTTCTTACCGCAAACAAGGCATTGATGGGGTTTTTCACCGCTGTGGATTCTCTTGTGCGTATTCAAGGAGCTGGATGTTGAGAAGCCCTTGTTGCACACCATACAAACATGCGGTTTCTCTCCTTCAATTGAATAGCAAAACTAAATTATTACGACAATTATTGAGGTTGCGTGAAAAGTTCAACATTCGTGCTTATTTCTATACCTACAGAGGCTATTTCCATTTCAGAACACACGTCAATTTTATAAATTCGTTAACAAATATTTTTATTCAAAACATGGAAATAACCTCTTATTTATTTAATTTGTTAGGTTAGGTTAAAAAATTAGGATAACTTGACAGTAAAGATCTGTATCTAATTTTTATAAATTCTTTTTAATTGATATATTTTGATATTGTATATTTTACGATATTTATGGTTAGGTTAGGTTATAAAAATTTCTGCGTACAAATAATAATGAATAAATATTAATAAAAAGTTCAATATATAAAATATCAATAAAATACCAAATGTAAATATAAATAATAATTTCTATACATAAAATATAAATGTATCAATATTATCCATTTGTACATTCACTAAAAATTATATATATAAAAGAAGAAAACAAAACCAGCTAACATATAATGTATAAAGCTAAAATAATATTTGCAAAAATTGTATATTTTGCAAAATATAATTACATTATAAAACTGATAAATATTAAACCTCAATAAAATTCATAAATATAAGAAAATTAAAGTTTATTTATAAATATGTACTGCGTACATCATTTTTTTGTAAATTATTGACGGTAATATCAGGTTTTATTAAATAATTTTATAATGATAGTTCTGAAACATTTCCCGGAGAAGTTTGATTGTAATTATTTTCGCTTCCCATTCTTTTTCTCGTTGTCTTATGTTCACTACTTTCTCTTCCCTCGCTTTTTTTCCTTTCAGCAAACAGTTGAGTAAAAGTGTTGAGTGTGAAAGTGTGTGCGATAAGCACTGAACACGTGAATGAATGTTTAATGTATGAATGAATTTGCGCGCCAAATATGAATGAAGTATTGTGAATTAAATTCTTTCGAATAAAACATTCGAAAAAATTAATTTATTAATATCGTATGGATAATATTGTACTTTATATAACATTTTTTCAAATGAATTTCTAAATAAAAATTTATTTTGTTATTTTTAATTATCATGATTTTTAAGTGTTAAGAAATGTTTATATAATATAATATTTGTTGCAAAATAGAAAAAATTATGCAATGAAGTATTAAAATCAAAAAAGTAAAGTATTAAATTAATCTTTAACTAAATAAAGTAAGAAATTTGCAATCATGTACAAAATTAAGTTTAATAAGTTTAATAACACAAAACGAATCAGCGAATACTCCGCCATCATAGTAGAAAGAAAAAATATGTATATTTATACACGTTTTTGTACCGTTTATAACATCATAAACTTTTTTCCTCTTTTATTTTATAAAGCTGATCAGTTTTACTTCTAAAAGGTTCATTTGCATATCCGCAATCTATTCGTTATAATTTCACGTGTACGAAGATATTTATTCACGTACCTGTGTGCGTTCTCATGTGGCGCTTTAAAAGCGACGGTCGATCGAAGGATTTCCCGCAGACTTCACAGGGTAACAGAACCCTCTCTCCTCTTTTAATCGTCGTCAGGATGCTGCAATCCAAATGATCGCTCGTCAAGGATAATGTTGATGACGAGGACTCCTCGGATGTTGATTCGTACTCGTCCATCTCGTAATACGAGTGCGAAATGGCTGACGAAGAATGATGGGAAAGTAACGCCATGGACAAGTCTAGTGGAGATTCTTTGAACAAAATTTTAATCATCAGATATTAACTTTACTAATTTTATTAATTTTAGAAGTTTGGGGATTTGAGATACTGGGATTTGAAGCTTTAGGAGTTTGAAACTTCGGACATTTGAAAATTCGCGGTTTCTCACATTATCGAATAATATATTGGACTTAGAACATTTTTAAACTCATTTTTTCAACTATCAAAATAACCGCGAAAATTTACATGTCCAAAATTATCACATACTCTCTTATTATACTTAATTCCAAAATGTTGCTTATGACAATTAACATCAAGTATGTGTTACTACAATTAACAACAAATAACTAGCAAGTGGACCTAGGCCGCTTTCATAATAAACAGTTCATAATTTACTAAATGGTCATTTGGTTCGGTAGTTTTAGTGCTAATTAACAGACTGTTCTTATCATCTTCAAAATTACGAATTGAGTAACATTAGTGTTTTCAGAGGCTTCAGTATTGCAAAGTATTGATAGTGTTTCAAATATGCTGCACTTTCTATGTAATTAATAATAAATACCGCGTTTTTGGTTTCTTTTTCGATTTCTAGATTGTCGAATGGCTGGAACTGCAAATGATTATATAGGAACTTTGTCAAAAACACGTTCAGGACGAACGTGTGACTTTTGGCCAACAGGATCTGGTTCTCAATCATTAACGAGTACAACCAAAGCAAATGTCGTGACAATTCCTCCATTACGACTACGTACGGGAAATCCAAATGTTTTCGTTTTTGGTTCACCAAAAAAATCCACGACACCAAAACCTAAACCAGCTATGCCAACTAGTGTCAGAAATGGTCGAGAAGGCTTTAATAACACTATGTACCCAGAAGGCAGTGCTAAGAATGCTAGTAATTATTGTAGAAATCCTTCGCGTAATATCGCCGCGACTTGGTGTTATACGACGGATCCTTCGTTACCTCGAGACCTTTGCAATGTTAGAGATTGTGAGAAACCAGGTAGATGTTGCAATGAAATTTGGGAATATTGGAATATTTGCAAGTTGGAATTTGGGGTATTTGGATTTTGGGGAATTTGGAATTTGAGATGTTTGGATTTTAATCAGTAAAGAATAATGTTTTACTTCAGCAGAGTTTACGTATCTGATGAGAGAGGATGGTATAGGCAGACGTTTACGCGTTCTATCGGAATTTGGGATTTGGGGAATTTGCAATCTAGGGAATTTTGAATTTAGGGAATTTGGAATCTAGGGAATTTGCAATCTAGGAAATTTGGAATTTAGGGAATTTGTACTCTGGGGAATTTGCAATCTAGGGAATTTGGAATCTGGGGAATTTGGAATCTAACGAATTTGGAATCTAGGGAATTTGGAAACTGGGTAATTTGAAATCTAGGGAATTTGGAATTTGGAATTTTTGAATTTGGGGAATTTGGAATTTGGGGAATTTGGAATTTAGAGAATTTGAAATCTAGGGAATTTGGAATCTGTGGAATTTTTGAATTTGGGGAATTTGAAATTTGGGGAAATTGGAATTTGGAGAATTTCAAATTAATTGGAATTCGGAATTTTTAGAATTTCAATATTTTAAATAACCCCACCACAATTTACCTACTTTCCTCATAAATAAATAATGTTACCTTAATAAATATTAAGATACACACAGCATTTCACGCAAGATTATGCATTTTCTCGATTTCTTCGGAGGCCAAACCTAACAAATACCCCCGGTTTCTACCGTGAACATCCCCCCTTCACCCCCTATGATCCCCGAGGTTCGCCTCTTCGGTCGGCGAGCCCTTCTGTTCGGAATTGAAGGTTCGCTGGCATTGTACTGTCCTTTATCCGTTGGTAAGCGCGGGGGTCTACGCATTTGAATCATGAGCGAACGAACGAGCACCTTGTGATCCAGCCGACAAAAATACCGACGCATATTTGCATTTCAGATTTGTTAGCCAACTTTCTTCTTTCTTTTACGATTGGCCCGCGATTGCGCCGATTAACGCGATTGCACCCGGCCGAAGATTTCGATCGCTTATTTTGAGCATGGCCGCTGCGTTTCGTACAGAAAAACCGATTTACTCGCTGTATTTTGTTACGTCGTTTTAAAACCCGGGATATACAATTATTGGTATCTTGCGACGATACTTTATTCGAAAAGGTAGCACTAATTGGCACATTAGGGTTTAATAGGTTGAAATTATTTATTTAACTTTTGGCGTTTGAAAGTTAGCTTAACTTAAATTTGAAAGTTAAAGTTTATTTTTTTGGTTTAATATAATAATTTATATTAAGTGTTTTTGTGACTATAGCAATATTTTTGAATTGTATAAAAAAGTATGCTGGTAAGAGTGGAATTTTTGTTGATTATTTAGCTGCTTCAATTAAAAATTTTGGAGATTAAGAATTTATTTGATGAAATATTTTATTTCATTTAATATTCTAATTATACTAACTAAAATGAGAATTATTAATTTTATAAATGAACATTTTTTTTAAATTTATGTATTCATTCGATTGAAATAAATTAATATTGAAATTAATATTTTGATCAATCAAACTTTAGTTAAAAAATAAAGTTATGAATTTATCTGACAATGTAATATTTTATCTAACATTGTACTTATGTTAGAAATTGCAAGTTTTATGAATGAAATTATAGTTTATGATAGATTATGAGATGGTAATAGAATGTATTGAAAATTATTGGTAACTCACCATCTAAAATGGAATCAATAGTACATCTGTACAAAGCCGACCTCGAACACATGTCGTGTGGTATAAGAACAAAATCTTGTTCTGCCGTAGGAAGAAACCAAGCTACTAATTCCGTGTCGGGTTGAACATCTTTTATTACTTCAAATATTGGATCCCCTGAATAACATAAAGATGAAACAAATACAATTTTAATAATATAATTTTTAATAATTAATTTTAAAAAAAATATTTTGATAATTAATTTGCGTTGATATTAAATACTGAGTTAGTATTAAATAGAATTGAAGTTAGTATTAATGCAAAATAAAATTTTGTTAAATTTATTTATTTTATTATTGAGGTATTTTTAGAAAATAGTACTTCTTGTTAATATTATATTATATTATAACTGAAGGCACACTTTAATAATTTTTTAAAAATAGGAGAGTAAAATTGTAAAAAACTAAAATGGTGAAATAGTAAATTAGTAAAATGATAAAATAAAATGGACAATGATACAATGATCAAATCGTAAGACAAAACAACGAGTAAGTAAAATAATAAAATGATACAAATAGAAAAATAAATAAAATTGAGAAAATTGATAAAATAATGAAATATCTGAATTATGAACCAGTAATCTTTGCCAAGATCTCCAAATTCCAAATTCCCCAAATTCCATATTCCTCAAAATCCAAATTCCCCAAATACCAGATTCCCCAAATACGAAATTCCCCAAATTCCATATTTCTCAAATTCCAAATTCCCGAAAATCCAAATTCCCCAAATACCAAATTCCCCAAATTCCGAATTCCCCAAATTTCAAATTCTCCAAATACCATATACCCCAAATACCAAGTTCCCTAAATTCCAAATTCCCCAAATTCCAAATTCCCCAAATACCAAATTCCCCAAATACCATATTCCCCAAATACCAAATTCCCGAAATTCCAAATTCCCCAAACACCATATTCCCCAAATTCCAAATTCCCCAAATACCTAATTCCCCAAATTCCAAATTCCCCAAATACCAAATTCCCCAAATTCTAAATTCCCCAAATTCCAAATTCCCCAATTCCAAATTCCCCAATTCCAAATTCCCCCGAATTCCAAATTCCCCAAATTCCAAATTCCCCAAATTCCAAATTCCCCAAATTCAAATTTCCCAAAATCCATATTCCCCAAATTCCATATTACCCAAATTCCAAATTCCCCAAATACCAAATTCCCCAAATTCCAAATTCCCCAAATACCATATTCCCCAAATACCAAACTCCCCAAATTCCAAATTCCCCAAAATTCCAATATCCCAAAATGTAAATTAAAATAAGACAACAAAATAATATATGTGAAATGACAAAAACAATGTAGATCTTTCAAATAACAACTATTTTTACAGCTATACTATTTTTACATCTATTTTCACATCAATCGAATATAAATAAGATATACACATTAAAGAGAATATAGTACGTGAATATACATTGTATGTACATATGTATACAATATCTACGTGAATATAGAATAAATGTTAGGTCAAAATAACCCTGCATTCGGTATATAATAGTTAATGTGTTAATGCTTGTACACAACTTACCTTTCACTTTAGTGCCAACTAAATTTACTTGCTCGTCATAAGATTGAACTATACGGAGGAATCTTATCCAGTTACACTGACGCTTATTGAAGTTGTAATTTGAAAAGAAAACTTCATCGTAGCAGCCATATTCACGTCTAATCTGGAACAAATCGAATTTAAGAAAACCCATGAGACTTTTCTCAAAAAGAAAATTTTTTAAATAATTTCGATAATTTCTTAAATTATCGTTTGACTTCAAATATTTTAAATAAATGTTTTTACAATAATTTTATTTATAAAAATTAACTTGTATATATTGCAAATATATTTGTATAAATATATACTGTATCGAAAAAGTATTAATATGGAGCTTGATGAGTTCTTGTAATTACTTTATTTGAATGCAAAACGAGTAATATATTATTTATTTATTTTCTTACTCATTAACGGGCACAACCATTTTTCTTATCAGAAAGATGATGTACATGCAATAAATTTGCATATTAGGACGCGAATAAATATAGTAATATATTTATAGAATATATTGCATTTTTCATATTAATATTGTGCTACATAATATTCATTTTTGTATTAGATTTAATTTTATATCTGAATCTATCTAATATTTTATATTTTATATTATATACAGTAATTAAATATTTTAATTTATTTTCTATCCTTCATTGACTTACTTTCCTAATTTGTTGTTGATTTAAATATGAAATATTTTTGTACTACATAATTATTATTATATTTCATAAATATTATTATTTTAAATAATTAAATATATATTCTTTACAAATAGTATAAAAAGTTTTACTTAATTTTATAAAATATATTTGAAATGAATCAATAATTTTACTTTATTTATACTCAATGTTAACATCAATTTTTCAAAATGAGAAAAAAGATTGTTATGACTAATATTTATCATCACATTTTGCTTTACATAAGTAAAAAAAAGTGAAGAGTACATAATTAGAAAAAAAATGTTAAATAAACAGTTTTAATTTTTTTATTTTAAGTTTAACAATTTTATTAACTCTTCAAAATAAATACTTAATGAAATTCTTACTATTTCAAACTTATAAATGCATATTATACAAAATTGAATTAAACTAATTAATTATAATAATTAATATGAAAATATCAACTGATTAATATCAATCATATGAATATGAATCTTGATCAAAGATTCCAATTAAAATAAATTGAAACGTTCATTAACACTAAATTTATCACAAAAATATTTCTTACATAAACATTTTTAACTTTTGTATACTGTTCAATATAGAAATTTAATACTTGATTACTTTTTAAGGATGTATTGAGTGTTCACCAATTATTAAACGTCTGCAAACGTTATTATTTTAATTGAGACTTCATTCATAATTTCTACTATTTTTCTTACAAAATAATATAACTGTGAGTTGTTTCTACATTACATTATTTTGTAGATTACACAATGCAGCTTAATTTTTATCAATTTTAAATTACAGAACAAAAATTAAGGTTCCAAAAATGTCTAACATTATACCTAACATTAATAATAAACATGTGTGTTTCATTAAATGTCAAAAACACTCAAAATATAACAAAGGTATGATTCACAAATATAACATTTTCTTTGAATAGTACAGAAGGGTTAACAAGGTTAACAAATTCATGACATTAAATTACAGAAATTAAGATACTGTGTCTAGTTGATAATCAATAACAATGAATTCTATCAGTTCACAATTATTCATAAACACACAATACTTTCATCAAAATCAACATCAACTTTTCACTAGACAAACAATTGTACTCTCATGTAATGTAATTTTCATCCCTTATTTTACTTATTTAGTTTCATTTCTTACTTTGCATTTCAGACTGTACTTATTCATTTACTTTGTTTCAACACTCATTCATTTATTTCACCTTTCATCTTTTACTTATTTACTTTATATTTTATCTACTTCTTTGTTTTGTTTACCTTTCATACCTTATTTATTCACTTTTCATCTTTTAGTTCATTCACTTACTCCTCATTCATTTACTTTGCGTTTCATCCCTTATTTATATTTTACCCCACATTTATTCACTTTACATTTCATTATTCATTTATCTAGCTCACGTTTTATCCTTCATTTACTTCAAGTTTCATTCCTTATTTATTTAGTTAATATTTTATCCCTCACTTATTTCAAGTTTCTCTTATTTATCTCCTTTAAATTCCCCTCTTTTCATCTCTCATTTACTCACCCCCTTCTAATTTACATTTCATCCCTTAATACCCACCCCTCAATCCAAAAACCTCAATCATTAAATCTCCCAAAATTCCAGCTTACTTACATCATTGTCATCAAGAAGCGAATAAAGATCGATCTTGTCGAACCGTATCGATCCCTGAAAGGGGTAAATCAACGTTCCTGAAGGTATGAGCACATTCGACCAGACGGATATCCTGACATCGGTGACTAGGCTCCCTGAATCATTCTTGAATAGACCCTTATACGAGGATCGGTCGTTAGCGAGCGCCAAGGAAAATTCTTTGGGTATCAGAACGCAGGTTTCCATAACAGAGGCACCGCGAAGGGATGCTTTGGAAAAGTCACAGCTACCGTTGTCTCCACTGTAAACACTTTTTATCGGGACACTCAACGACAGGATCTTATATCGACCTCGGCCTTTATCGCCCGCAGAGCATCAGTGACGATCTAACATCCGATCTATCAGAGAACAAACGATAGTCTGACGACTGACCGGTCAAACACCACGAGGTCCATAAAACGCACTCGGATTCTTTGACGCAATAAATAAGAGACACTGTAGCTCACTGGAGATCGTCCGGTCTAGACGGACGGGATCTGTGTGTGAAGCAAATCTCGGAAATTGGAGCAAATCGAGAGATTATGGCAGGATAGCAAATTTCTGATCGGACCGTGAGGGTCGTTCGTCCTCCAAGGTGCAAAGGCCTCGGCTGACTGGATAGGATTAACCGACTGATCTTGACCTTGCGACGGGTTACCAGCATTTGCTACCGAATGGGTAGCCCTTCCCCTTCTTTACCTCTTTTCCCACTCACAGTACATGGCCCGCTGCAGACTTTTTCAGTGGCGTAGTCAGCCGCTCACCATACACATCTATACCGTGGAATTAGAGATTCTATGGTTAGCTCTGCTCTAGATCCATACTATTTGGATACTATTTTAGTTGTATACTGGCGAAAATTTGGATACTATTCTAGGTGCATAGTGGACTGAGTTTGGATACTGGTCGAGTTCTAGACTAAAGAGAATTTGGATATTTGGACTAAAGAGAGCTTGGATACTATTGTAGTTCTATACTTGAATGAATTTAGATACTATACTAGGTCTATTGTAGTGGGGTGAACCCACATTTTATTCTAAATCTATATTAGGGTGAATTTGCATACTAATCTAATTCTAAGTTGAGAAGAATTTGGGTACTGTTCTGGGTCTTATAGTGGAGTGAGTTTGGATATTATTCTAGTTCCATACTAGGGTGAGCTTGGATAATATTGTAATTGTAAGTCTATAGTGGGATGAACCCACATTCTACTCTAAATCTACAGTAGAAAGAATTTGGATACTATTTTAGTCCTATACTAGGTGCTATAATTCCAGCACCTAGTGATCTAGCATCAAAGTGATCCATATTAGGTGAATTCGAACATTAGGTTAAACTTACATACTATTCTAATTCAATACTAGGATGAATCTATTGTATACTATTTCAGTTTCATAGTAGAGTGAGCTTATAAACATTTGTTTTCTACTTGGAAGAACCTCTCTAATTTTTTACCAGATCTTTGCCATAACCCCTTGATTTGGACTGTGTCCCTTATAAAGTTGTAACTCATGCTTTGTTTAACAATTGTTATAACAATGATATGAATTGGACAATTCTAAAAGACTTTTTGTTTACTAAGCAAAATGTATGAATATTTTATTAAGTATTTCAGTGAAGGAATAAAATAATTTATGTGTAAAGTGAATACCACTAACGTGAATGTAATAAGTATCATAAGTGAACAATTAATAAGATTTGTTCAAGTATTATGTATTTCTTAACTTGAAATGTATTATTATTTATAATTTAGTTAGTATTTCAACTTGCTAAGTCTATTCGACAAACACTTCCAAACGACTGAATTTATTACATTCATAATTTAATTATGATATTTGTACAACTTATGTTTATAGCAAACTGCATACTTAATACAACATTATATATTTATAAGTTTTGTATCCCTTATAAACTACTATCTTAGAAAATGACTCGGGTAATTATCAGACAAGCAATATATGCAGTAACAGTATCGACTATGAAGAGAAAATAAGTAACAACTGACTGAGATAACCTCCAAATCGAGTAACTATGAAAAGGGCACTGATTCAAAGGGAAACAGTACGCTCTATAAATGAAAAAATGGGTTGATACAACAGATAACCTTTAAAGCCCCTATAATGAGTAATTATCAAGCTAGTACTGACTATAAAAAAAATAGTAAAAATTACGAATGAAGAAGTGAATGATTACTAGAAGAAGCAGCCTCCAAAGCCCCTAAACCGAATAAATATTAAACGAGCACCGTCTACAGGTGAAACAGTAGAAGCTACGAATGAAGAAGTGAATGGCTGTCGCAAGAGACGACCTCCAAAGCCCCAAAAGCGGGAATATATTACTGTACGGTGGCAGTATGCGTTATGAATGGAAAAGTGAGCAGCATACGCCAATGAATCTCGGTGCCCCACTATGTTCATCCTGTGGCGAGTGCACTTGGTGTATAGAACGAGTATCGGCTGCTTCACCAGTACAAGGAAGCCGGCTGGTCGTCCTCGTCGTCATCATCGTCGTCTTCTTCACCCTTCTACCGTCTCTGCAGCACCGTAAAGAGAGAACCCACGTGGGCGATTGGGCACCTGTCGCTCCCTGTGTGCCCTTTCCTTCTCGTTCCCGCTTCCCGGCAACTCGACTCCGTCCTCGTCCACCTCATCCTCCTGTCCTCGTCCTCCTACCATCTTCCACGCCCTACCGTATATCCTTTTATCCGCCGCTCTCTTGCTCCTCGCCATTTCTTCCACCTAACAGCCTTCTGGGACTCTCTTATTTCTTTCTTTCGTCGCGTTTCCTCAGGCCTGCACCGACGATATTCTTGCAAGGCAGCCTCGCCCGAGAGTAGGGCCTTCCTCTCTCTGGATCCTCTTCTTACATCTGTCTTCTACCTTCCTCTTCTTCTTCTTCTTCTTCACCGGCTCGTTTTCCACTTTGCTCCGCGGGCTCGCCGCCACTTCTTTTCGCTCTCCTCTTTCTACCCGTCACCTGAAAGACTCGCCTTTTATTCATTCGTTACGACGGAACGCTCGAACGGCCACGAATAAAGTTACGAAATCGATCAGCAGCCAACGGGCGCGCGTTTTTCCCGCCACGATTATTTTCGCGTTCGCTTTTTCGAACGTTGCTGAATATCGCCTCGGTCAGGGGGCCTTTCGAACCATCCTTGACGCGTTTGACGCTTTGACATGTTAATGACGGGTGAAATTTGGGATTTAGACTACTTTCGTTACCTACCGCTCGCAAGTCGATACACTGACACAAATTTTTACAGAAAGTCTTGGAGGGTTTGTGGTAATATATCAAGTGTATATTCGATGACATATGTAATATGTATATAACGCATATATTTTATGATATATCTAGTAGATATATTTCATAATGTATGTAATGTGTAAAATGTATATTTTATAATATATGTAATAATTAAGCTGTAAATTTCATAATATGCATAATAAATATATGTTTTATGATATATGTAATATATAATATTATATTATACCAGAACATAATGCATACATATCTTTCATGATTATGATAGTATTAGGTCATAAATCATAGTTTACCTGGTTCATCAGTAGTTTGTTCATATTGTGTGTCACTTGTTAATGGTTCATACTGTGTGGTACTCGTAGTTGTAGGTTGTTTTTTTACAGCAAGAAGTTCTTTAGCACTTTCTCGAACTCTAAAAAATGAGAAAATAAAGTATTTAGTTAAATTAATAAGTAATTACATTCTCAAACTTATTACAAATTAAGAAGTAAATTATTACATGTAAATATAATTTAGTTATAAAATTACAAGTAACAAAAATGAAATAAATATCCTTAAAATTAGGAGTGTATCAAATATGTGAATAAAATACATATTCTAATGAGAAGCAATGTATAAAACATGTAAAAAAATGTTTTCTATTTAAACCTTATATAAAAAATAGATCCTGCCAGTGCACCTCCTACTAGGATCACAAAAAGGATAACTGCTAAAACGCTAACGTATTCTTCATTCGGTAGCCAGCCAAAAAAGGGTCGAGTTGCCTGGTCTTCCATCAAATGAGTTCGCCAATTTGGTGGTCCTAAAACTTGAAAATGTAAACGATTATTTTTCCAAATAAATAAAGACAGCATGTTCTGAAACAAAGTTACAGGTTCAAACATCTGTTGTGTATAAAATATTAGTACATTAGTATATTGTTTATTTATTACACATTATACTTCATGTAATTTGTATAAATTATTTTTTACAATAATTTTTATAAATAATGTAACTTGTTAGAATATCGCCTCGGTCAGGGGGCCTTTCGAACCATCCTTGACGCGTTTGACGCTTTGACATGTTAATGACGGGTGAAATTTGGGATTTAGACTACTTTCGTTACCTACCGCTCGCAAGTCGATACACTGACACAAATTTTTACAGAAAGTCTTGGAGGGTTTGTGGTAATATATCAAGTGTATATTCGATGACATATGTAATATGTATATAACGCATATATTTTATGATATATCTAGTAGATATATTTCATAATGTATGTAATGTGTAAAATGTATATTTTATAATATATGTAATAATTAAGCTGTAAATTTCATAATATGCATAATAAATATATGTTTTATGATATATGTAATATATAATATTATATTATACCAGAACATAATGCATACATATCTTTCATGATTATGATAGTATTAGGTCATAAATCATAGTTTACCTGGTTCATCAGTAGTTTGTTCATATTGTGTGTCACTTGTTAATGGTTCATACTGTGTGGTACTCGTAGTTGTAGGTTGTTTTTTTACAGCAAGAAGTTCTTTAGCACTTTCTCGAACTCTAAAAAATGAGAAAATAAAGTATTTAGTTAAATTAATAAGTAATTACATTCTCAAACTTATTACAAATTAAGAAGTAAATTATTACATGTAAATATAATTTAGTTATAAAATTACAAGTAACAAAAATGAAATAAATATCCTTAAAATTAGGAGTGTATCAAATATGTGAATAAAATACATATTCTAATGAGAAGCAATGTATAAAACATGTAAAAAAATGTTTTCTATTTAAACCTTATATAAAAAATAGATCCTGCCAGTGCACCTCCTACTAGGATCACAAAAAGGATAACTGCTAAAACGCTAACGTATTCTTCATTCGGTAGCCAGCCAAAAAAGGGTCGAGTTGCCTGGTCTTCCATCAAATGAGTTCGCCAATTTGGTGGTCCTAAAACTTGAAAATGTAAACGATTATTTTTCCAAATAAATAAAGACAGCATGTTCTGAAACAAAGTTACAGGTTCAAACATCTGTTGTGTATAAAATATTAGTACATTAGTATATTGTTTATTTATTACACATTATACTTCATGTAATTTGTATAAATTATTTTTTACAATAATTTTTATAAATAATGTAACTTGTTATGTTGAAAATAATTTCACTAGATTTATTTAAATAAATGATTTCTAAATTTATTGAAGTAAGTAAACAGTTAAATAATTTCTCTTGTAAACAATGTTACAAATAATTTGATTACATTTATTTAAATAAGCAATTACTAAATGTATTCAAATAAATAAATAATTTCTACATTTATCCAAGTAAGTAAATCATTACATTTTACAAATAATTGAATACCTTTAACAAGAATCATATTCGTTATCCATTCGAATCCCAAATCGTTTTGTTTAACAACACACTGCCACATCCCGTCGTGAGTTTTATTCACCGCAGCAATGTGTTCAATATCAGCGGCAATAGGAAGCGTGATTCCGTAATCTTTCCATACTTCATTTTCTATCAGCCAAGAAACTTGAAGCTCCGAGTAAACATGACCCAAAATTGTGCAGTGACATGTCACCGTCGTACTTAACGTTTCTCTTCTTCGTTGTACACTTTCCTTCGATGGAATTACTGCTAAACTGACCACCTTGATGATTGAATACGTTCCATCGATTCGACGTAGAGTCATTGCATACACGCCAGAATGATTTAAGGAGGCCATCATTATTTCTGAAAAAATAGAATAATGAATTAGTAAGTATTTAGTACGGTTATATCTTTGATTTATTTATTTTTAGTGTATTGAATTATTGATGCTCTAGTTTATTGGGGAAAGACAGACAATTCGAATATCAAATTTCAAAATGGAGGATTTAAAAATTTTTCAAACTCGTTAATTCTTAAGTCCATGAAAATTTGAAGTTTTCAGGTTTTTAGGTTTTCAGGTTTTCAAGATTTCAAGTTTGCAAGTGTGAAAGTTCGCCAATTTTCAAGTTTTCAAAGATTCAATGTTCAATTCTTCAATTATTCAATTTTTCAACTCTTCAATTCTTCAATTCTTCAACTCTTCAATTCTTCAATTCTTCAACTCTTCAACTCTTCAACTCTTCAGCTCTTCAATTCTTCAACTCTTCAATTCTTCAGTTCTTCCATTCTTCAGTTCTTCAATTCTTCAATTCTTCAACTCTTCAATTTTGCAATTCTTCAATTTTTCTATCTTCTGACTTTTCAATTTTTCAAGTCATGATGATATCATGTTATCAAAATCCCAAAACTCTTAACTCCTAAATTATACTAATCACTGATAATTATTCTATTATTATAACTATATTAATGTTATAGTCGTTATTAATTCCCACAATACCGTATAAACCGTAATATAAAACACTTTATAATTCAATTCTTATCGATCATAAAACATAATCACATACCAACATTGTAGTCTTTCAATTCTAATCTGCCCGGTTCATCTTGCACGAAGACGCCATTTAAGGACCACTGTAATTCCGACCGTGGAGATTCCGCACTAATTAGTTTAATAATATCAGAATCAGACTCGATCGTAATAGCCTCGTATTGTTTTACTGTAAGAGCAGTGTGCTGGCTTCGAATTCTTCTGTTGATCAAGTTTACCGTATCTGTTTATCAAAAGAATCTCTATAGTAATAGTCTCCTACCTTTTAGTCGCCATCGTTGAACTTTTAACCTTAAGCGAATTGTAGATACTTTCAAAAATATTGATGTATCATAAATATTACTATTGACGCATTTTATACATATTAATGCACTATAAATATTACCTTAACTGCTGTAAATGTTGTTATGCTACTATAAATAATATTTAAAATATACTTTACACGTGTTGATATGTTGTAAATACTACTATGTTATTGTAAATGTCGTTATATTACTATAAATATATCTTATAGACGTTGATGTAGTATAAAAACTACCATATTGAGTAATTTCATAATTTTATAAAATACATTTATAAAATTTCGTAATCCAAAATAATTTTAAATGTATTATTTACCTTCTGTTATATCGCCGCAGAGAATTTCATTGCAACGGCCACTCATGGTACTAGGCCCTACACAAGGCTCTCCTCTAACATTCGGTTTGGGAGAATCACATCGTCGTTTTCGCGTTCCTGTACCACCATTGCAGCTAACACTGCATGCCCATGGTCCCCATTCGGACCAACCACCATCAAGAGGAGGTCCATCTATGTCTATGCACATAAACATAATGAATATGTAATTAATACGTTTACAAATCAGGTGCCTTCGAATTCGAACGCGTAAAATTTCGAGCACCGTAAACATATAGATGGAACAAGAGACACAAAGATTTTAAAGTCGTTACAAACGATCAAACGTGTCTGAAACTATCGAAAACGATACCGAACACGATTATTCTCGATTTCACCACGACCGACGTCAACGACGACCAAGTATCGTCGACGATGAGTTACAGAGCTTTTAACGTGCCTCTAGTCGATTCTACGTGTGAAAAATGATCGAAAAAGGTTTTTAGTTCGACGATCGTCGACGGGTTCCTGTCGAATCGTCGTCAAAATCTATACAGCAAATTTAGGCTGTCTCGCGAGTCCACCCTGAAAATTTCAAGGGAAAAAACACAAAATTGCGACTTGTAACGTGTAGACAAACGAACACATGCAAATCGAGTCGTAACAGGAACCTTATTACGTTCAACAATACATAATGATGAAATTATACTAATTTTTCTAGACTTCCAGATATTTTTCACGATATTTTCTTGTAATGTTATATGCAATACGATATTTTCTTGTAATATTACTTGTAACACAATATCTTCTAATAATAGTACTTGTAATACGACGGTTTTTGTTCGCTGAACAAAATTTAATATTAATTTTTTCTTCGAGTAAATTCACCTGTAGGCATACAATTCGCAGACCACGTGACCCAACTGTCAGAACTTGCACCGATCGAAAAATAGTAAAACACTAGAGGACTATTGTGTCTATAACGAAACACACTTGTTTTGTTCGAATAAATTTCCATACTACTTCCTGACCACCTGTAAATTTTCAATCATTATTAACTAATTTATTTTATATGTATTCTATTTTTAACTAACCATGTATATTACAATTCACTTCATTTTATTAACATCAACACAATTTAAAATATTCAGTTTAGCAAATATTGAATATCAAGCTAGTTTTATTTGATTTTTATTATAGAATAATTAAATGGGTCGTGCGTATAGCACTAGAAATTATATTTACGAGAATAATATTACTTATTATTACGCGCCAAAATATGCACGCCAAAATAATCACATTCCGTAAACCGTACGAAAAACGCAATCGCAATCGACTCACAAGATCCACACTAGGTGGCGCCAAAACAAATGGACCAATTATGTCTCAAAAACACACAACTACTGTACACTGCTATTGCAAGTAGTTAAAACTAGTGATAGTGAAATAATTAAGTCTTAATAACTAACAAATTTATTACAAATAGTTATATTATTGAAAGACTTTACCTGATTGTAATATTGGTCCATGAATTTGTCGAAAATAAAGGCACATGCGTTATTTGCTTATGAAAAATCACTACATTGGGATAAGTATTTTTCGAGAAAACAATTTGACGTTCTGCTTCGTTGAATGTGATTACATAAAATCTATTTGAGAAATAATTTTTTTTAATACAAATTTAGAATTGTTCGGTAGTAAATATATGGATGATAGATCTATGTAATAAATGAATAATTAAAGGTTTTATATGAAAATATTTGTAGACCTACCCTGGAATTGCAAGCATTAAATATAAAGGTATAGTAATTTTCCCTTTTCCTCGAAGATGAAATGTTACTTCTTTTGGATACACTACTTCTGTTTGGATCCATGTTGACAGTGACAGGATTCTTGTATATCGTTCTGTTTTTGTATTTTCTATGTGACAACCTGATACATACAAAATTGTTCGTACGTAAATAATTAGTAAGGTTATGTATATTTAAGTGATTAGTAAAAGTACAAATAATTAGTAAAATTTTATGTATATAATTAGAAAATGTATAACTATTTAGTAACATTACATGTATTTAGATAATTAATAACAATATAAATAATAAGTAAAATTGGGTGTATATAAATAATTAAATGAATTAATAACTAATATACTCAATTTTTTCAATTACTAGATTTAAATAATTGAATTTATTAAGAGAAAAATAATTTCGGTTTTGAATTTTTTAAAAGAACCAAATAGTTTATTAAAAAAGAATAGTGTCAAATGTATTAAATTAAAATGTAACAAATATTTATACTTGAATCACGATCGAAAGCAATTCCAACGGCTCTTCCCATGTCACTGCCATAGTAATAATACATGGGCAAAAAGCAATGTGGTGGATCGACATGAGTCCATTCAAAGATCGGTGTTGGATCATCCTCGTAATAAAGCAATACTCGACCACGTGGTATTCGCAATATAAAGCCGGTCCACTTTCCCATATAAAGTAGATGCGGTAATGTTTTCTTTTTGACTATTGTGATACCTATACATTTCAGGTATAGTTCTAAGCTTTACTATGATAAAATACAAAAGAATAGATACTACGTAACTATTTATTTTAAGTAACATAAAGTGATATCAATTAAATAAATCGAAGTAAATTGCAATTAAAGTAAAATATAATTTGTTGTATAGAAAGTGTGCTAAGTAATAGATGATTATTACGAAATCATTTACGAGTATTACAAAAATTTAACGGTATTGCAAAAGACATGTCATTTAATTAATGAAAAGCAGTAAAAATATAATGTATGGGTAGATTGTTGTTTGAAGGATATTGAGGTAAAGAATAGTTTATTATGTAAAAATATTAGTTAAATATTAAATTCAATACAATAATTTATTTATACACTAGTACTCAATACATCAATTTTTAATTAGTAATTAAACTAGTTTTAGTAATTAAAAATGACTGAAATCACTCAAATCACTGGAATTCCTAGAATCACTAGAATCACTAAAATCCCTAAAATCACTAAAGTCACTAAAGTTACTAGAGTCACTAACATCACTAAAAACAATAACCTAACAAAAAATTACTGCAAATATTAAAATTACTTAAATTGTTTTAACTCATTAAAAATTAATGTATTACATAAAAATTGTTGAGCATACATCTTTCTGATATTTTAAGTAATTCAGTAATGAAAAATGATCAAAATGTAAGATTTACTTACGATCAGTTTCAGACTGATAAAAAAGAATCACTCTCTCATTATCCACCGTTCCTATTTTGAGGATGTAACGAGATTTGAAGCCATCGTCGGCTGTAAAGACGAAGCTGACAGAATCCGGATTATCTGGTTCCCAAGCTTTTAAAGCAAAGTGTAAACCTTCCGAACGATATTCCGGTAGAACGTATAACCGTCTGCCTGTACCATCCTCTCTCATCAGATACGTAAACTCTTCTGAAGTAAAACATTATTCTTTATTGATTAAAATCCAAACATCTCAAATTCCAAATTCCCCAAAATCCAAATACCCCAAATTCCAACTTGCAAATATTCCAATATTCCCAAATTTCATTGCAACATCTACCTGGTTTCTCACAATCTCTAACATTACAAAGGTCTCGAGGTAACGAAGGATCCGTCGTATAACACCAAGTCCCGGCGATATTACGCGAAGGATTTCTACAATAATTACTAGCATTCTTAGCACTGCCTTCTGGGTACATAGTGTTATTAAAGCCTTTTCGACCATTTCTGACACTAGTTGGCATAGCTGGTTTAGGTTTTGGTGTCGTGGATTTTTTTGGTGAACCAAAAACGAAAACATTTGGATTTCCCGTACGTAGTCGTAATGGAGGAATTGTCACGACATTTGCTTTGGTTGTACTCGTTAATGATTGAGAACCAGGTCCTATTGGCCAAAAGTCACACGTTCGTCCTGAACGTGTTTTTGACAAGGTTCCTATATAATCATTTGCAGTTCCAGCCATTCGACAATCTAGAAATCGAAAAAGAAACTAAAAACGCGGTATTTATTATTAATTACATAGAAAGTGCAGCATGTTTGAAACGCTATCAATACTTCGCAATACTGAAGCCTCTGAAAACACTAATGTTACTCAATTCGTAATTTTGAAGATGATAAGAACAGTCTGTTAATTAGCACTAAAGCTACCGGACCAAATGACCATTTAATAAATTATATTATGAAAGTGGCCGAGGATCATTTGTCAATTATTTGTTATGAATTGTAGTAACATATACTTGACGTTATCCGTCGTAAAGAACACTTTACTCTTACATAATGAAGTGTGAACTTTCTTATAGTAATGAGTATTTACTTTTATTTCGGGCGATTAGGTAGTTGTTTGTTTTTAGTATCATTTACCTGATGATCTGCAGGTTTGTATGGTACAGTAATATTTCGAACTTGGCTCACTTTCCCATGGTTTATATGCGTAACAATAAGGACCATTAGGATCGTGAGTGGGATTTCTGCATTTATTTAGCGCCTTCAGTGCTGAGCCGTCTGTAAATTTTTCATCGACTTTATCTTCACTTTGAACCTGGTTGAAAAATAATATGAAAAACATTATGAAAAATACTGTGTAAAATTCTATGTAATATTCTGTGAAAAATGCTATGAAAAATAATATGAAAAATACTATGAAAAATATTGTGAAAAATTCTATAAAAAATACTGTGAAAAATACTACAAAAAGTACTATAAAATATTACTAAAGAAATAAAACAATAAACATTACTTTAAATTTAAATATTAATACCAGAGCCAAAAATAACAAATTTATAATGCAAATGAGTGCATTTCCATGAAAATTGCAAGGAAAAATGTTCTAAGTGCAAGAATAATTTGTTCTCTCTATTAGGATTACCATAATATGGCGTCAGAATTGTAAATGTCACTTTTGTTGTGTTGAAAAACGATGAAAGTGCGAACAACCTTTATAGCTGTACATTTAATTTTCAATTTCCTCTGATGATAGAGAAAACGGAAAATAAAAGCGGAATTAATATCCGCTTATCAACGTTTGATAAGTTGATCGATCAACATCTATAAAAATATTCGTTGTTATTAATATTCGAACGAAGAAGTCTGTGGAGAACACTGAACATTTTTACGACAAGAAAAAATAAATTTTCAATATTTAATGTTTGATAAATTGTTTAGTCGACTTTTGTAAAAATATTGTTAATAATATTTAAGTAGAAAAACTTGAAGAGAAGGGTGAATCTAATTTTGAAAATTTACTTATTTTTGTTATTTTCTATTAAATTTATTTTTTCTTTAAAATTTGTGCAAAAAATTGTCAATGTTTAATAAATTATTTAGTCAAATTCTATAAAATTCTTGCTAATAATATTTAAACAAATAACTTGAAGAGAATTTTGAATATTATATTGAAGATTTATTTATTTTTATTATTTTCTATTAAATTTATCAAAAAAATGTTCAATATTTGATAAATTGTTTGATCGACTTCTATAAAAATTTTGTCAATAACTTTTAAACAAAAGAACTTGAGAATGGCTAGATTAATAATATATTAATAGTTTATTTATTTTTATTATTTTTCATTAAACTTATTTTTTCTTTAAGTCTGTAAAAATTGTGAATGTAGAAATTTCATAATAAACCAAATGATAGATTTAATATTTAGATAATAAATTTAAGTACGAAAATGAAGAAAATGAACATTATTATTGTTTCCACTGAAACTTTTCATTTTTGATGCCTGTATTATTATTTCAACTTCTAAATTATTGAATAATTTTCATTTTAAATTTTCACATTGTTTTGTATATAAACTAAATATGTTTCAAAATTTACTTGACTTGAAATCCACGGAATACAGGGAATTTCATTGATGGTGGTCCATTGAGAACCTTTGTACTCGAAATCTCTAAAATCAGAAACGCAATTAGGTGGCCAAGGATCTTCCACTGCATCTGCTTCTGTTAATATCAAATAAGAAACAGTGTTATATTTCTAATATTAAAATTTTTTAAAGAAATCTGAAATACCAAATATTTATAAAAAATTAAGGTAAAAATAAAATAATACCTTCTGGAGGACAAAACAGTGTCCATTGTGCTATAGTCTTTTCGCTTCCAATACTAAACCACCTCAAGGTAGCGAAAAAGTTCTCATTCATGTATAAAATTTCGATTGCACCTCTGGTTTTTTGAGAGAACAAACGAAAATGTCCGCCAAAAATACTGTAATGTAATAATACTACACTTAATTTAGTTAAACAAATAATATTACAATTTAATTTTTGAAATTGAAAAGTTCAAAGACTTAATTGATAATTAAAATTAAAATTCCTTAATTTGAAATTAGACAAAAATTGTTTAAAGTTCAAGAATTCAAAATAAAATTCTTCAAACTGAAATAGTTTTGAAAGTTCATATCCTCTGATAAAAATTTGTCAATTGGAACTCTATTGTATTTTTATTAATTTTTGTATTAAATTACTGTTAACTTTTACTATAAAATAATTTGATTTAATTTTACAGAAGAATAGTTAATTAAATTTTTATTGTTTTTCAATCAGTCAACAATCAGTTAACTGTTATATTAAGAAAATTGATAAATAATTAGTACAATCATTTTTGTCTAACTTTAAATTATTAATTGTAAACTTTTACAAACTTAGGTATTTTATTTTACAGAATTGTATTTTTGTATTAATTATTTAATAATATTTTTAATACAACAATTGAAACAATTGAATATAACAATTGAAACAATTTTGTTTCAAAATTCAAAACTTGAAAAATAACGTAATAAATGGACGAACGTACCAACCTGATAGCAAATTCCCTCCAGGACCAGAAATCTAGTAATCCCCTAGTTGCAATTTCTTTCAAATAATGTTTTGTTGATTCCTCGCTTTCTTGATATGTGAGAGAGGTGACGTCTTTTCCTATAATTACCTACAAAACAGTAACACTCACGTCATCTCCCCGTAATTATTTTAATCTGCTTTTTATTATAGTATTTCCTCAGAAACACAATTATTGATGTAACGCTCCTTCATAATTAAATTATACATTTTTAATTAAAGTAATGTAGTGATTTAATATTGCAGAGCAGCACTAAAAATAGAGTAATTGGTTTCAAGTAAAGAAGTAATTAATTTAGAAGTACTTCATTTAAAGAATTTTAAAGTATTTTAGAAACCGCATTTCTGAACGTTCTTCAAATTCATATTTTCCCGCGCGCGGTTTTAAAAATTCTACATCTAGCGGTGAACGAAGTTACTATTCTAGCCGAAAATAGTGTATTTCTTTAGAATTACTAATTTTTAAGTTTCTCTACGACCTATATAATATTCTACTATCTTAAAAGAACAGATAATAACTCGCTACGAACGTTAGAAACGTAAGTTTTAAAAATTGCATTCTGTGGATGTCAAAAAGGATAGCCATTTAGTGGCAGAAGGTAGGAAGGGAAACTTGAGAAAACTGTAATTTTGTTGAAAACTATTAAGTTTTGCAAAGTAGCTCATTTTTGTAAAGGAAGATATCTATGAGAATAATTTTTGACAAGTCAGAAGTAAATTTTTTGCCACTTGTACGTCATTCCCTATATTATCGATGAGATAGAGTATAGTGTGTGAACTGTTCTGAACACATAATGCGCATTTTCGGACTCACCGAATGTACTGCACACACCATAGAATTAATATGAATAAATACATAATAAATATATATCATTTGAATCATTAAAATCAATATTCAGTGAGTTTTTAAGAAAATGGAACAAGTAGCGCCATCTCTCCGGCGAACAGGGTGAACTACACGCTTTTTAAACCGTAGTTTCATTAGTTCTCACACGATGCCGCTGGATGGCGCCATGGGTATCGTTTTGGGTTCAATTCGGATATTATAGTTCATATTGTTAGCACAATTGATTATAATATGAATGAAATTATGTCGGAGTGGAAGACTAATTAACTTTGAACCGTTTCGACTTTATTAAACTAGTATCAATTTTAGCCATTCTTACCCTAGGAGTTTTTGTGGTGATCATCGGAGTCGTCGTCGGTCAACAAGAATTCTATTTTCAAGCCGTCGATAAAGAGGTATTTTATTTGTATTTGATATTCAATTTTATTTATGTTCAATTGTATTTCTAAAAGAAAAACGTTCGTTATTCATTCCATAATCAAATCTAAATTCAACACCACATATTTCAAAACAAGTTTCAACAAATCAGTTATTTTTGAAAGTCATTATTAATTGACTATTTTAAATATAGAAAAACACTCTCTAGATTTTTATTCTAGATGCCGCCATCTGGCGGTAGAAGACGAGAACTAATTTAACTGCAGTTTCAAAAGTGTGTAGTTCACCCTGTTCGCCGGAGAGATGGCGCTACTTGTTCCATTTTCTTAAAAACTCACTGAATATTGAGGTAGTACTTTTGCCAGTTTGCGCGCGAAAATTTAAATTTTATAAGATATGTTAGAGAATAACTCTCTTAAAATACATCTAACTCTCTAAATTAATTACTTCACGATAAATTATTACTTTTTATCAAATCAAAAAGACCTCTACAAAGTAATTTCTGTTGTTATTATGTGTTACTATAATATTGTGTAATATGTAAAACATAAAATGAAATACAGTATTTATTATAACGTAAATAAATAATTGAGAGAAAGAAAAGAATTATGTTATAAAAAAAATAGTGAAATAAAAATTTTTCAATTTTATATATTTACCTATTTATCAACTTGAGAATTACAAATTTCTTATTGTTATTTTAGTTGTTTGAAAATTGAATCAAACGTTTTACGAACATCTTTTCACTTTTACATGATATTCAAGGTTTTTAATAGAAACATTATTACCGTTACAGAAGGATACTCGAGTGCAGGTGTTTCGTACAGTCGTATATGAATATTTTGACTCGCTCTGACGAAAAAACGAATGTCTTCCGTGTCATTATGTCTCTGCATGGCCCAAACCTTCGAAAAATCGATTCCAAACGTTGTGTAAACTTCGCAATCTAAAAATTAGTTACAAACTCATAAACGACGTACCATTCAATTTAATAAAATAATAAAATCACAGTAAAATTTCAAATTGTATCAACTATAACAATTAGAGAATAAGAGATCGGAAAACTCACACGATTGACAAAATGGAGGACTCCATAAAATGTTTGTACCTCTCAAACCATAATAAAAAAACGTTTCTGGGTATAAACTCGTAATACCGCGTTTCTTTTTGTATTCTTGCATGAGTATCGGTTTCATTGATCCTTCGATTCCTGCAGATACGAAACCACCGCCCCATGTTATCCATATTCCCGTCCATTTTGTTCCAAGTAGGATTTCAGGAGTATCCTCGAAACCTTCTTCGTCCTATCATAATAATAATAACAATGATAATGATAATAATCTAAATCGTTTGTAATAATTATGGTTTATGATAATTGAATATAATTTCTAATGATTTATAATAATTTAATATTGCTTCTAATTATTTAACGTGGTTTATATTAATTTAATAAGATATATAATAATTTAGTATGATTTATAATAATTTAATATTATTTATAATGGTTTAATGTGATTTACAAGAAATTAGCATGATTTACGAGTTTATATGGTTCATAAAATAATTTAATAGGTTTTATAATAATTCAATATAATTTATTAAAATTTATTATGATTTATAATAATTTAATATACATATTACTAATAAATAATCATTTTGCAACATATCTGCAAGATTAAGTTAAAAAAAATTAATAAATTTAAATAATTACAACAATAAATTTGTTAATAAATTACCAAAAAATATAAAATTATAAAAGATATGACGTTAGAATAATTATACAGCAACCAATGAGAGTGGCTGCACGCTATTGGTTCTAGGGAGGTCACAGAACAATTTCTGACCCTCAGAAATACGTAAAATTGCCTAATTTCGGAGAAAATCGAAATTTTATTTTTTCATAGTTCCGCCGCTCGCCGCTAGATGGCGCCACCTGTACCGTTTTCGACCGAATTCGACAAAAATTGACTTCCTGGCTTTATTAGGCATTAAAACGCATCAAACCCTAATAGAAATTTGTCTCTAACTGCCTCAGGAACCATACTACGTCGTCAAAGTGCCGAAATATTCATTTTTTTATTTTCCTTATATGCGTGTTCGGACCCTCACTTTTTAGGATCAGTTTTTTCGGTGATTATTCGTTCGTGGCAAGTCCGATTAAAATTTTTTTTTTTCTATGTCCATCTGGATGTACATACATATGTGCATGCAAAATTTGACGAGAATTGGTTGAGTGGTGCAAAAGAAAAACGCGGACAAAGAAGTTGCAAAGTCAAGTATAAGAGCTTCGCTCGCCTTCGGCTCGCTCGCTCAATAAATATATTATGATTAACTATATTATACTAACTAAATTAGTTACTAACTTCATACTTTGGAAATGTTTGACGACTGCCAGAATTTGCAAACAGTAATTCTACACCCGCGGTCCAATCTTCAGCTATAAGTTCAGCAGTAGCTGGAACTGGAAGAAGACTCAACAAAACTTTTGCTTCTGCCTATAAATATTATTAATTTCTGTTAAGAAGTTATAAAAGAATAAATACAAAGTCGTTTCACAAAAACATTTTACCATATCTGGTAAAATAATTTCTTCGCTAAAAAATTTTGTTACAAATTTTTGAATGTTATCAAATTATTATTATTATATTTCTAATTTTAAATACATTTGTCCTTCACACAGAAAAATTTATTAAATAAAAATGAATTATATGAAATTTTTATATAAAAATTTGATGTATACTTATATCAAATATGACGATAATAATAAACGTACCCTTTTTTCGTCATCAGGGTTCCATAATTTAAACCAAAACGTTGCATTGCCACTGGGTGCATGCAATTTTGTTAGTACTCCATAGTGAGACACATTTTTGGTCAGTACTACACAATCTACGAAAAAGAAATTTGTATAAGTTTTGATAGATGACATAACTATATAAATAGTTAAGAAATTATTTAAAGAACTTAAAGAACCACTCTGTATTAAGCTAATTTTTATAGCTATTGAAAACAGATTTAGTAAACACAAATTTGTAAAATAAAATTGTAGAATAAAATTGTAAAATAAAATTGTAGAATAAAATTGTAAAATAAAATTGTAAAATAAAATTGTAAAATAAAATTGTAAAATAAAATTGTAAAATAAAATTGTAAAATAAAATTGTAAAATGAAATTGTAAAACAAAATTGTAAAATAAAATTGTAAAATATAATTGTAAAATAAATTCATAAAGTAAAACTGTAAAATAAATTAATAAAGAAAAATTGTAGAATAGAAATGAATAAGTATCTATAACAACTATTTAATATATCATATTTTGTTATAATTTATATTGATTTTGAAAAATTAATTTATGTTAATTTTCATTTTTAAGAGACATTAAAAGATATAAAATAGTTAAAAAAAGAACCTCTATCATCACAAAAATGAATATCGCAGTACTCTTTCTGAACATATTCAAAATTGTCCTGTTCAACATAACACCATGGACCTCCAACATCCCCTGTAGGATTTCTGCAAAAACTTTCAACTTTTTTTAGAGATCTATCTGGAAAGTTTGTTCCCTCGAATTTTGGGCTCTGTAAAATGATTTGTATTATAATTTTTAACCGTATTTTATGATTGTGATTTTTTATGAATGCAGTTGATTTTTTTATATTGCCACCGATATAGCAAATTCTCAAATTCTCAAATTCACAAATTCACAAATTCACAAATTCACAAATTTCCATATCAACGACTTCCAAATTTCTAAATTCCCAAATTTCCCAATTCCAAAATTCCAAAATTCCAAAATTCCAAAATTCCAAAATTCCAAAATTTCAAAATTCTTAAATTCCTAAATTCTCGAATTCACTAGTTCACAAATTCCCATACCCCCATTCTCCCAAATTCCCAAATTCCCAAATTCCAAAATTCCCAAATTCCAAAATTCCAAAATTCCAAAATTCCAAAATTTCAAAATTCTTAAATTCCTAAATTCTCGAATTCACTAGTTCACAAATTCCCAAATTTCCAGATTCCCATACCCCCATTATCTCAAATTTCCAAATTCCCAATATCCCAAATTTCCAAATTCTAAAATTCTCAATTTCTGATATTCTGAAATCCTCAAATTCCCAAATTTACAGTATCCCAAATTTCCAATATCTCAATGTCCCAAATCCCTAAATTCCCAAATCTCCAAATTCGCATATGTCTAAATTTCTAAATTTCTACATTTTCGAATTTCAAAGTTCTGTGAAACATAACGAAAGTTCACTAATTCTTAAATTACTTTCGCATCTTCAAGTTGATGTCGTTTGTGCCATGGTCTACATTTTCTTCCCGACGAAGAAGTTTCTTTACTGCCTCCATATTCTGCTCCTGGTCCAGATAATTTGCATTCTATCCGATAGAAAATAAATAAACTGAATTATAAATAAACTTATATTATATAATGAAGAATATACTAAAGAGTAATACTAAATAACGTAATGAAGAATGTACTAAAGAATATATTAAAGAATACACACATAAAACACAAACATTTCTACATCACCTCCGAAATTACACAGCGGTATATCACACACATCATCTATAAGTGAAGGATCTAAAGTGTAACACCATGGACCCTTAATATCTCCCGTGGGATTTCTACAATAATTTTTTGCAGCCTTCATTGATCTCTCGGGGAAATCTTGATCTCGTATATCACCGCTGACCTTATACATCAAATACCGATAAAAAAGTGAAGTAAAATAAAAATGTTCAATGCTAACTGTACTAATATTAATACTACTTAGTAGTTAATTATTAACAATAAATTGTAGCAGAAAAGATTCGTAACAATTATGTATTGAATATTATTTTTTCATTATATTATTTTTTGTTTCTTATTTTTACGACGTTCATAAATTTAAATGTTTTATTACTTCTGTTTTTACTTGCAAAATTGCTAAAAATACAATATGTCGTTTTCTGATATTTATCAAAGGTTCATGTTTCGTTTAAAATTATAAAATGGAAGATTGTTAAAAAAGAATTATCTGTTCTATTTGTAAAAAGTTATATACCTAATTGTTAAATAAATAATAAATAATGGAGTTAATTTATGAGAAGAGAACCTCGTGTATCGGTTCTTCAGAGTCCCAATTTTGACAACGAACATCGCCTACGGTTCTTGCTATTGAACCTCTATATTCCATTCCCTTTTGTGTTAATTTACACTTCATTAAATCCGTTCGTGTAGCATTATGCACTGCAAATAGTTTACTATTAATACTACTTAAATATTAAGAACAATTCTATAATTTTCATTGAAAATTAAAAAAATTATAACTTTGAATTAAAATTTATTATTATTCTAATCAATTAAAACAAATATTTACCTTTTTGACCCATTACTAACAATGTTAAACTGAAAATGATTAAAAGGTTAAATGTCAAAGATGAAGTGTTACAGCAATGTGTCTTGCAATAAATATTTGTCAACGATTCAACTTCTTTAAACATTCTAAATTCTTTTCTTCTTTGACACATAATATAATATACTGTTAATATACAACATACATCTTTTAACGATACTATTTTTAATATAATACATAAAACAATTGAATTGTAAATAAGGTATAAACATTCATATAGGATTAAAATATAGTAAAAGAAGACTAAACTAAACTTTAGTTATAATAAAAATAAAATATAATTGTAGGAAAAGGTGAAAGAATTATCACAACAATTATTTAAAATTTCCAAAAATTTAATAATACTTCTTGGATTTGTAAAATAAGATGATTATAATTTTCATTGTAACATACACGTTTACCTAAAAACTATTATTTATCATTAATGGAAATCCATTTGTCAACACACTGAAATATTTTGCAAAAAAGTCAATTGTCGACATTCGCACCAAATGTTTACATTCATATTGTTACACCGCTAATATCTTCTATAACTTTTAATTAACATTTCTTTAACTTCTAGAAGAACTAACTTGCACTTATAACTATAGTAACACCGAACCTGAAAGTTGAAATACAAACTTGCAAATTTCTCAACTTCAAATAAATCATGTAAGCATAAATAAAACATACTAAAATATTTCAAAAGAAATTTATGATTGCAAATTTTTCTTTAACTTTATGTAAAAATTAATTAAGTAAATCAACACAGTTGGAAGCAAAATATTTTGAAAATAATATTAGTTAAAAGAAAAATTTGTTCAAATTAAATATATGTTTTATTATGCTTAGAAAGAAATATGTATTTATGTAATTTGCAAATATGCATATGATACAATCTTTCAAGCAGTGTTACACGTTTCATATAAATTTAATGGATAACAAATTCAAATTCAATTTACTTAAATGTAAATAGTAGAAACTATGCTAAAAAGCGCACCGCATAATTAGAATATACTTTTACTAGCTACACTCACTATTAACGTTTTTACTATATAATTAAAAAAAAAGGTAAACGATAAAAGTGTTTAGGAACCTCCTATATTTGTAAAAAATGTATCGTAGATGACATATACAGAATGTTTTTTAAATCATACATATATTTTTATTCCGTACTTTTGATTATTCACTTTTAAACACGATTGTATATATAATATTTCAATGTCAGATAAGATGCATTTGCCTCGCAAACCTTCTAACATCATCTTATCGCATAAGAGCTTGCAACATGTATATTTAATTTTGACATTAAAAGATTCGTAAAAAGTGGAATCACCAAAAAATAGCAAGGATCAATTTATTTTTGTTGCAGGAATATTTCATTTCCTGGACACAACATAGCTTACTAATTGTTTTGTATGCAAGTCTTGTTGTACTTTTCTTTTTTTTTGTATAGTACACGTATATATCAGCTATATGTATGTATATATACTATAGTTTTATACATATGTATATATTACAATGTGTATACAATATTGGATTCATTATTCTGCCGTAGTATAAGAAACTATAACAAAATCTTTTGTGTCGATCCAATATTTTACACAGGAATAAATAAATTCGTATATGATTTTTCTGAAAAATGGACGTGCAACTCTATTCCCTGCCCTGCACTCACATTTAAGCTATTACTCTCTTGTCAATTGTTTAACAAAAACATATTTGTTTGCGACCTACTGATGCCTGATACTTATTAAATGCATATATGTAATACTTGAGCAGGATGTACACATTCAAAATCTAACTTAATCTTTGTTTATTAGCACAGCATTGCGATAAAAATACAATTAGGTAAGCATATTTTATCAATAAAATCGTTCTTTTACTATGGTCAACATTATTGCCACATACCATAATGTTATTATATATTGTAATATGAAGAAATTACTTTCTGTGTAAATACTTCTTCGATAAACTATTTCTTATACGTAGAAATTTCTTCAACATTCTTAAAGCTGAATTGCTGTTTCCGATATATATTCAGTACAATGATAATCAAAATATGAAATTCATTTATCTTTTGTGTAGGTAATTCAACTATACTTGTGAAGATATTTCTACGCATTATAGTTGAGAGATCATTTCTTGTTCGAACTTAAGTTCTCAAAATAACTAATACTGTGATTGATTGGCGATAATGAACTAACTTGCTTGGTAACATATTATCCTATTAAAAAAAAATAAATATAAGTTAATCAATAAAATTCTGTGTATTACTTAAAAGTAGGCCAATAAAATTATCCTTATGATATTATATTATGCATTTAAAAATTCTTCAACGGTGTTTGTGAACATAATATTAAAATAGATGTTTAAACAAAAATCTTCTTTAATCTCTTATTTACTGTGTAAAGATAAACAAGGAACAAAACCTGTTACTGCATTAAATCAGTCTTAGTTCAGTCTTATATTGTGCGAATGTAACTAATATATTATTTCAGTTCATTAATGTCAAATTAAATTAAATGCGACAGCACTTGCATCTTTTTTTAAAGACTGAGACATTGGATTTTTACGTACAATGTAAAATTAATATCTTATGTACAGCGAATGCCATTATATAGATGAAGATTCGTATTGGCTTTATAACCACTGAATACTGGCAATGAAAATTAATAATAATAACAATGTTACTAGTCATAATGAGAATGTAAAAAATCATGAAAATATATAATTGAAAAATAGTAATGATAATAATCGTCATAAACATGAAACAAATAATAATTTTTTGTCCATTTACGCGTACTCATACTGGAATGCAAATTGAAAGTATATCTTTGAAGTATGATATGTTAAAAACATTACTACAACATTGATCTTGTATTACATTGATAAAGTGTTGTATCGTTTAGAGGCAACCGACATCTTTTAATCGATATTTTTCTTTATATCTCTCTGCGCTATTCTTGTTAGCTTTTTTTCTGCCTATGCCTTTTCCACATATATATGTCCACAATCTTTCTCGTCACTTACATTCCTTTCCAATTACATACACTTATAAAAACAATCTCTTAATCACAACGATCATGCACACATAAGTTTGTATGTGTAGCGTCGAATTGCATTTTAGTCTCCTTACACATTTAACAGGAGACATTATTAACTTATACAAATAGTTAAACAGTTTTATGACGTTGGTCACAATAGTATTGTATACTGTTATTTTTTAAGTAAACGTTGTATACTCAAAAAATTATATTTTTATATTTTATATAAAAAAAAATCATATCAAATAAAATAATTAGCTGCGCCAATTTTAGGAAATGTTAAAATAAAATAATCCAAATTAAAAATGAAACAAAGCTAACACAAGCAGCACATAGGGACAATTTTTCTTTTCACTTTTCAGCAAATTTTCTTTAATTGTGTTATCAAAAATTTTGTCAAACACCATTTAATGAGACAGTTACATTTTTATTAAAAATAGTAACCATTTTTCTTATATTTACCTCTTTGCCACTTGTATTGCGTTACTCTCAAATTTCCACTTCTAATGAGTACTTTAACCATATACTGATATAACTTTATTTATTTAATAGTATTATTTATACCTTCTGCTTTACTTTATTCAAAATTGTCGTCTGGCAAAATAGTTTAGAAACCTGGCCATCGTTTTAATATTAAAAGTAATATAGAATATAATTGCTCGGTATGAAAAACATTTTTGACAAAATGCATTCGCTTTACTCCTTCTTTATAACTTGCCGCTATCTCACAAGATAGCCAAATACTGGAATGAATCATCCCTAATTCTCTTTCATTATTTAAACTATTATACTAACATCTTTAGTTACTTTTTGTTTCTTCCACGAATTTATAGACAACGGATAACTACGTATGAATAATGTGAAAATAACATTTCTCTTCTGATGGGAACATCCATAACGATATGACTTCAGAACAAAAAGTTCATTTTTGTACTTGGTTGTTTGGCACTCAAAGTGAGAAAACCCGAAGCTTCAAAAGGAACCTATACGGATTTCCATATTTATATACAATCAGTAGGAAAATATTGCCTCTAACGCTTGTTATCTGTGGGCTTAAGCGTCACACGCTTACTTCTAAAATCGAGAAAAACAGTAACGTCATGTCCTCAATCACTGTCGCACATTTAACGTGTATAAAATCTTTCTCTTTCTCTCGTTCTCTTTGTTTCTCACGCTCTCCCTCTCTTTCTTTCTTTGATAAATCCAATTAACCATCTTAAATAATAAGGACTCGATTATTACCAAAGTCTACAACCGCAATACTACCATCTGGGCACAAAGCGATGCCCGAAGGTCTATCCATCTCATCTTCAGCTTTGCCGTAACAACCAAATCTCCATTTCAATACTCCGGCTGAATCGAATATTTGAATTCGATGATTCCTAGAGTCGGCTATGATAATATTACCTTCGTCGTCGATCACTAACCCTTGCGGTCTAAGGAACTGTTTTGCACCAGCTGCGCACTCACATTCTAAGATTTTGGCGTGCATGAAATCAGCTTCGATGATCACTACCCTGTGATTATTAAAATCCGTTGTAACCACGTTTCCTTCCGGATTGAACGCTACGCCGCGCGGTGAATCGAAATGCTTCCACATGTTCGGTGCCGATTCATAACCGTACTTTCGTAGAAAAATGCCCTCGGGACTGAATAATTGTACACGATGGTTTCTCGTATCGGATACAACTATTTGGCAGTCAGAATTCACCGCGACATCCCATGGGTAGTTGAATTGTCCACAACGACAGCCTTTCTCGCCAAAACTTAGAAGAAATAGGCCTTCCATTGTCAACACCTGAAGAGTTAGTAATCAAACTTGAAATATAATCTGACCTACTAGGTACTATGCAATTGTACCTTGTATACATGAATACTGTCTACAAATAAATTACCTGTATACGGTGATTATCCTTATCAGCTACAACTATACGCCGACGTGCATCAACTGCCACACCAGCCGGGCGATCAAATTGCCCTGGTCCAGTACCGTGAGTGCCAAACTTTCTAATGAAAGTACCATCCTGATGATATACTTGTATACGATTGTTGGACCTGTCGGCGATCACTACATGACCTTCCCTATCACATGCTATTCCCCATGGCCGACAAAGATTGTCCTCTGCATCACCGTTGTTTCCAATGATTTTCTTTGGTTTCACTGACATATCAGAGGTACGATTTATCCTCACTACGACTGGAAATTTGTTCGAGGGAACTGGTCTTCCTTGTGGAATTGAAACCAGGGGAATCGAAACTGTTTGTCTGAGGAATATTTGAGGGGAATTCCCACGACCCCTTACTGCACGTCGATCGCCTATGGGACCAGGATTGTTCACCACAACAGCACCAAGGTTTGCGATAGCATTAAGTATAGAACCCTCTAATCCGTTAAACGAGATCCAGTTTTCTTCTTGCGAGGGAAGAGATTGACGACTCTGACGAATTTGAAAAACCTGCAATTAATGGAAATGCTGGACTAGGTGAACAGTAGGAATGCATATCTCAAACTTTAAATACTAAAATGCTTTAAGAGAAATGCACTGACTGTTACATATCAATATGATTTGTTGTTTAGTACGTACCTCAGCTGAAGCCATATCCTTGGTAAGTAACAAATTCAATGGATTGCTAGATAGGGTTTTGGATTCCATTGCTTCTCTAAGCTTATCAGCAGCGCGCGATAATCTGGCTATGCCATTTCTGAGTCCTTCGTCTCTTGCTTTTAACGCGGCAAATTTAAGCAGCCTAGCTTTTTCGATTTTACCTAGCAATTCCTTTTCTCTTACTTCTAAAGCAGAAGCCACTCTTCTTACGCACAACATTACATCTGTAGTTGCTTGTCTTGCTTTTTGCTCTAAAATTTCTGCTGCTATCTATTGAAAAACACAATTAAATTTTAAATATTGCTAGTTAGATTATCAGAATTTTACATAATTTTATGTAGCAACATAATTAAACTATTAAATTACTGTCATGATATATGCAAACATTTCATTTAAATACTAGAAACTCTTTTAAAACTTTTATACATATTATAACATTTTTAAAGCAATATTTATAAAGTTTCTGAGAATGTACTTACTTGTACAGCATCTAATTCTTCAGACAAAGCTGTAATTCCAAGCTTAGCTTCTCTTAATACTTGATTTGCTTGAAGTCCAGCACCTTCAACGGCTTCCATTAAGTTTACTGTAATATGGCCATGATGATGATGAATTCCACATTCACCACAGAGGGGTTTACTACAGGTTTGGCAATAAAATCTTTGAGCATCACGATGTATATCACAAAACAGTGGCAATCCTGAAGAATTTAAATGTGGTGTAATGGTTATTGGAGGGCTTGGTGCTTCTGTAGATATAGTTTGTGCTGGATGATCATCTTCGTGGCCCAACTCTGTAGCATTCTGTAAAAACAATAATGACATTTAATAAAATAGCATAAATATAAATAGATATACATATTAAAATAATTACAAATTTGAGTAGAATCATCTAAATATACTTACCAAAAATCTACTAGGAGAACAAGAGTCACAAACTGCATCAATACAGTCCCTGCATCTATTGGTAGAATTTCCATTTTGTGAAAATTGAATATTGCAGGAAACCGGTCCACTAAAATTGTCACCATTCACTACTTGTAGTAGACTATTAATGAGAGAGTCAACACTTAGATCATCAGGTGATTGACCATAACATTGAGAATTTGTACTGCTTCCTGAGGATGCAGTACCTGGTGAACTCGAATTGGAATAACCGGAAGTGCTAAATGTCCATGGATATCTATGCGTCATCTGTAACCAAATAAGAAACAAATAAAATTATATGTCCACTTTAAAAAAATATTTCAGTTTCTTCATACATTTACAAATGCTGCATTATAGATCGTCTTGCACAGTAACAAACTGAGAATAAAATATTGAACACAAAATATTGAGGACATCATTTCAAAATTTTTATTTGCCATATATTAGATAATTTTTGTAATAAAATGCGATCGATAATTTTTATTTTGAAAGATAATATATTTATAAGTAATGTTCACGTGATTTATAGAGAAATTAAATTTATTGAAGTTAATTTATTAGGTCAGATCAAAAATACGTTATTACGTAAAATAATGACTAAATAATTCAAATTTAATTAGAATTTTTCCGAAAGATGATGCGTACAAATATGTAAACATGACAGGTGCTCCCCCTAAAACGGAAACGTCATTTCTTCAAATAAAAAAGAACATCTTTTTAACAATGACTAAATAAACAAAGAAATATATATAATTAAATTTAGCACTACAATAGGTTATACAAAATATATCGATGATGGTTCTCGTTCGATACTGAATATGAAATTGAAGAAAAATTATAAAAGATTTTAAGCGGAAATGGAAGTACACATAATACTACAAATTGACGAAAAATCGGAAATAAAAATATATTAATTTCAAACGTAAAAGAATAGTCAAAGTATTGCGTTCGTATGAAATTTAATTAACAATATGAATACGTAATTCATTAAATTTAATTAAACATGTAATTAATGAAATTCGATACAATATAAAATATTCGATTTCTTCTTTAAACTTGAATATAGACCATACCGTTGACAGTGGATCTACGTTCGTGTCTTGTTCGTTTTCTTGATTATCTTGAACGTAATTTCCAAACAAGCTCGTGCTGTGATTATAATTTCTAGCATGATTCATCGTGAGGTAGGTATGTAGTTAAAAATTCTACAGTAATTCGATGTTACGTTGTTGTTTCGTCGTGATATCTTTACCTAGAACAAAAATATACAACACTTGTTTTATTAAAAATGAATAATATAAAATACATTATAACACTACAACAATTTTTAAAATTCTTTTATTACATAAATTTTTACATAAAATTTGTAATAGATAAATTTATAAAATTTTTTTTCAAATTTATATTATAAATTTATACGATTATTTTTTTAGTAATAAACAAGATATTCTGGCCATATTAAATATAGCACAATTTAGCAATTTGCAGGTAAAATTTATTTTAATAATCTTGTATGCAAAATAAAGAAGAGAATTATTTTATCGTATAGAATGTGGAGGAAAAAATTTACAGTAGATGGATGTTATTTCGTTCAACTTGTTCTGAAAATTTTTTCTCAATTAAAAGGGCTTACACAAAATTTTATTTAATTTTGCAACTACGTTCTGCAATTAAAACAAAATTGAAAAATTTTAAGCAGATTTTCATTTTCTCCTAAATAACAAATAATGAAATAATCCACCGATAAAGGTATTATCAATTTATAATTAAAATTGCAAATAATTACAATTTGTTTAAATATAAACAAAAAATTTGACAATTAAAAAAATTGAAAATTCTTTTTCGCAATATTAGAAAATGTTTATTCAAAATACAGTCATGCGCCGAAATAAAGTATGGAATTAAAAGTTTCAAAATAATCAAATGAACACCGCAAAATAATCAAACATTATTCGAACAATAAAACCTGAAATTTAAAATACATAGGTATTTTCGATTTCCAACGCGTACAAACAAGTACAATTTAACCTGAAACGATGAATAAATAATATCATTGTCGCGGTGTTTAATACGTTCACGTACCAAACTTGAATTTATCTATCTCCCTTCTTTCCCTACTTGTTAGAATAAATCAAAATGGCCCTTGCACTATTCCGGTTTCCCTGCTTTAATAATACTGGTCAGCTTACTTTCTGACGCTCGATTGTTTGCTTTCTGACATTCACTTGTTTACTTTGTTCGTTTGCCTTGATGCAAAGGTCAGTTCCATTTTAATTGCATCTTTTTTGTGCGAATCGTTAAAGCTTCTGTACGCGACATACATTCGCAGCTTAATCAACCGTGAATTTACTTTTTACTGTTGCAAAAATAATAGCAGACTATTAACGTTTGTACTATTAGTTTTTCATATACATATAATTGTTCATAGTAAAAATATAGTATAAATTACATTACACTTTACATATTTATATATTCATATTATATTATTATACTGCAATGATCTTTTGTTATAAATAACTTTTTTGATTTCATATGATTAAAGGTTAAAACGATCCACATTTTACTAGCTTAAAATATTTTGAGAATTTTTATTGTTGTACTTTGAAGATTAAAAATTAATTTTTGTCATAGATTGTAATTAATAATTGTTGTATATCTTATACATAAATATTAAAAAGTATAAATATAACAAAGGAAATATTTATTTATAGTAGAGTATGTTCATTAAGTATGGTAGTTTAATTTATTATGGAATGTGTATGGCTGTTGAACACAAATACAAGCCCAGAATATCTGTGAAATTTCAGAAAAGAAAAATTCCAAGATAAGTCTCTTATCTTCAGGAGTTTTCCCACGGAATGTTAGCTGCAGATGAAGTTCTCGTTCGAAATAAATTCTACCCATTGGCAAAGTAAATCCAACGAAAAAAATACTTCCACAATTTTCAGAAGGCATCCTTCAACGAGTATGGTAAAAATTGCAATGTTCACACAGGACTTTTAACCAACAATTCTTCAAATAATAAAATACTATAATTTACAACAACACTATATTCTATTTCATTAAAATATTATATACATACATTATATAATATATTATATGTTACAGTTGAAAAAAGGATAACCTTAAATTATAATCCATGACACAAGAATTATGTCATATAAACGCGACATAAATCTGAAGCGGCGTTTAAAAAATGCCTCCTGCGCTCAACAGATGCCACTAAAACAAGAGTTTAAAGAGATAGAGTGCAACACAGAAAGTGAAACTTAAATTATAACCCGAGGGGTTAATTGCGCGCTTGCAGAAAGGAGTCGACGCGTTACAATATCGCAGTTACGAACTAAATCAAAAGCATTCATGGGGAGTCAACGGAAAAAGTATTTTGAATCGCACGGATGGCCCCTTGTTCCACTTTCAAAGACGAACACCCCTGCACAGCTGGTTCAAGGTCATCATACGAGTCCTGAACAGGGAAGAACCGTGATACCCTTTTTAGTTCGGGGATCGAGAGAAATGGGGTCCCGCTTGGAGGGAACCTCGCAGAAATCAATAACAGTGGGAAATTCGACGTACTCGCCCTTATGTGTGTACGTATATGTTTGTTTGTGCGTGTATTTGCGCACCTATGATCCTAAATGTATGTTTCAGACGACTTCTAATCACGTCCGACTGTTGCACATCGTATGGCGGATTTCGAAACCGAAAGTTGAGAATTATTTGATGACTATTGAATATTGGATTTTATCAATTTTAACTGATTGTTGCGGTGGCTGATTTTAGAACGATGTATCACATAACCTGTTGATATGAAAGTGTAAAATGCTACGTCAATTTGAAACTATGATGAAAGTGATTGTAGATATGTTGTCGATAACACGACATGGTTGATTGTCAGTTATAGTAAACAATGATCGATTTTGAAAGATGAATGATTTGATGGCATGAAAGTGTTACAAAATGGCACTTATGGTATATCAATTTGTAGCTATAAATTTGATGAATAGTTTGCAAAATAGTTTGTAAATGGTCTACGAATGTTTTCATGATAAATGGTTTATTTTATTGGTTATAGTAAATGAGTTTGATATAATTTAAGGTCCTAAAAAAAATCCCAAAATGGGACCTATGATAAATCAATTTAAAGAATAGCATTTAGTAGAAGTGATATAAATGCTCTACTAATATTTTTATAGAAAATTATTAGTTTTTAAGGGCATTAAAAGTATTTATTTTCATTTAAATGAAAGCTATCATTTTTAATGAAAAATAATTGTAACATTTGTTGACTATTACTAAAAGAACCTCTTTTATTTTGATGGAATATTTAAGAGCAATTAATAAAAACAAATAAATTGAATTTTGTCATGGTAGATAAAAAATTAAATTGTTTAATAAAATTCAGAAAAAAAAATAAAGAAACTTAAACAAAAATTGAATATATAACGAAATTTGTATTAATTTTTTTTGTACAATAACAAGTATTGTAACTTAATAAAATCGTAGTTTGTATATAAACGTAGTTTTTTTTATATAAAACATTTGTATATAAAAATTCGATTTTTGTAATTGTGTAAATACTTAAATCGTCACGATTATAATTCGAACATAATATTGATATACTATAACGATTTTAAAAAGTGGAAAGTTGGACAAACATTTAAAATTTGATAAAAATGACTTTGATTTTGCAATATCTTCGTGTTATCGAATTGTGTTGGACTTTCTGTTTCGAAGTCTGACATTTAATGGGTAATAACTTGATACAGTAGACTCTCACTATATTGCCACCTTTACTCAAATTTTCAGCGCTGTTCATCATTGTAGGACACGAAAATAATCGATAATAGATAATTATTAAAAGCAGTACCAAAGATGGAAACTTTCTAATCAATTTATTACCAATTCCAAGAAATTTCGACTGCTGTATCTTTGCTGGTGGCAATATAACGAGAGTCTACTGTATAAGTAGTTAAATACTATTATTTAAATATTATTATTTAATACTAAATATTTTAAATGAGCTGTTCTTTGAAATTATGTATATTTTGAAATTATCTATACTTTAACTGTATTTTTAATATTTCAACTGTAATGTTTAATAATTCATTTTGTTAATATATTACTGTTATACTAAATTGTATTCAGATTAAGAGAGTGGTATGCAGCTTAAAAAACTGAAGGTGATGAATGATCAATTAGGAAAATATTATTGCTGTGATGTTATGAATCTTTTTCATACAAAATACAGTTACTGTATACATATACACAGTATAAGTTTATATTTCTAAGAATAAAGGGAAAGTTATTGTATCAAACAAATAAATTATTTTGTACAGTTTTAAACAAATTTAAAGCATCATACTAAAAATTTTAAAAATGTGCCAACTTCTACAATTGAAAGTGGTAGTCATATAATAATAATATGATAATAAATGGAACTATATGTAATATGTATTATATATCAAGATTTCAAATATTAATAGCAGATTGATACAATATTCTAGCAAGGTTTAAAATATTCATGACAGACTGATGCAACATTATAACAAGATCTAAAATATGAATAGCATGAACTGATACAGTATTATATCAAGGTTTAAAATATTAATAGTAGACTGTGAGAATATTATATCAAGATTTAAAATATTAATGTCAGACGGAAACAATATTATATTAAGATTTAAAATATTCATAGCAAAAGCTGTTTATAAAGAAAAATTGCGTATTTATAACCGAAGCGTCTGCTCGCTGTGTTTCTACATCAATATGTAAATATACAGGAAGATTCAAATTTAAATCACCAAACTTGAGTATAACAAAATAAATGTATGTTAAATGTTAAAAAAATAAATGTTTACATTAAATATATAGTCTAACCAAATATTTAGATTAAATTTTTATATCTCATTATATATTTTACCTTGTTAAGTTATACTAATATATAATAATGAAAAGAGCAATGTATATTTATTGTATAATTAACAAATTAATATTCTTGTCATACACAAGGTGTATATTATATTTCTTTAAATTATTAAATAGTTATTACAGTGTGTACTGAAGTATCACAATCTGAATTTGATAGACACAGATTTAAGATTGGGTTCTACATGACTCAGCATTGATGATAAACTATGATCATCAGATTAAATTATCATTTTCCAGTATTTAAGTGATTAAACACTGCTTAAACGTTTTAATTTAATTCATATAACAAGGAATAGTAAATTAGTAAAATATATTTGAGAAAATTTTAACTTCAACTTTAATCTTTAATTTATATTTAATTTATTAATGAATGAATTCTCAAATATTTTATTCAAAGTTATTGTAATTGCATTTTATCAAAATTTTATTTTATTAAAATTCTATTAAAGATCACTAAAACTGTGTTCTATTAAAATTCTATCAAAAATGATTAAAACCATATTCTATTAAAATCCCATTAAAGATTACTAAAATCATATTCTATCAAACTTCTATCAATTACTAAAATCATATTCTATTAAACTTCTCCCAATTACTAAAATTTCATCAAAATTCCATACAAAATAGTTCAAACGATATTCTATCATAACTCCACACAAAATATCAAAATATTTGAATAAAGGTTTACTCGCAAAGACCAACAAAATAAAAATTATCTTAAAAAATATCAAAAACATTCATATCTCTATAAAATCATAACAAATTCTAATAAATGTTAATTGTATTTTCACCAACATTTACCAACTACCTTAAAGTATTTATCAAATCGCTCAAAGCTGTTTCTCACAAAGTGAGCGATTAGTTCAAGCATAAATTGGTGCATCAGCAAGATGACAATGGCGATCAACGCTAAGAATTCTTTCATAGATTAGCCGTTTCTTAAGAGAGAATCTAGCATCTGGCTTTGCAACGGCTTCAAACGAAGCTCACGTTTAGCCTGCAAACTTTTCCCTTTTCCCTTTTCCGTTTTTCCAGCAGCTGGCCTGCAGCAGCTAGGGGGTGCTATCCTTGAAATCGCCATGGCGACCAAGGTTAGACCTGCTATTCTTTTCGAGGGTCAAAAAGAAAGAGAAAGTGAAGTATCTGTCATCCTATAGATGTTCCAGGAACGTATAGCAACGTTGAATCTCGGGCAATTGTGAACTTCGGGCATTTTCAAGTGTATAATAGGAATATTCGAATATCTCTTCTCGAATTTAAAATACATTGAACTTCAAGTTATAACCTCTTATTTACTGTAGTTAAATTATTGTTAATTTTTGTTTAAGATGTAATAAAAATTTAGTTTGAAAATATTATAACAATTTACACTACTAAATAGTAGATGTAAAAATAATTTTAATTTTAGTATTAAAAATTTAATTTGAAAGTATAATAAATATAATTTTAGTTTAAAATATATACATTGAACTTCAAGCTATAAACTCTTGTTTACTATAGTTAAATTATTGTTCATTTTAATTTAAGATGTAGTAAAAATTTAGTTTGAAAATATAATAACAATTTAAAAGATGTAAAAATAATTTTAGTTTAAAATATACTAAAAGTTTGGTGTTTTTAAAATATAATTTACAAGTTAAAAAACTGTAGGTGACTTAATAAAAATTACTATAAATACAGTACACATTGTTGAATTTATTAAATATTTTTTAAACTAAATTTTTATAATTGCATATTGGTAGCAAAATTGTTATAGTAGATACTTTTTGAGATAAATTAAATGGAATTATAAATAAAAAATGTTTGTTAAAATTAACGATAAAAATAAAACTATAAGGTTGGCATATAGAAATTAATTTGCAAAAATATTAAATTTGATATAACAAATAAATGTAATATAAAATTGTGACTTAATTATTTTTTAAAAATAAACTATTTATAATTCAGAAAATATTAGCTATTTTTTTTATTTTAGAATGTAATAATATTGTTTGTCAATTACTAATTGTTTATTATTTGTCTTTCAATTTAATTATACAATTTTGTATAATTTAATTATACAATTTTGTATAATTTAATTATACAATTTTGTATAATTTCATTATACAATTTTATACAATTAAATAACCAGTGATGTTATAAAAAATAAATCATAAAATGATATTACAATTATATTTGAACAAATGATTAACTTATAACAGATACAATTTATTTTGCCAGTTCATAAGACTTCATAAAAAATTTTCAAAAATTCACAGGAAATGAAAAAAACAAAACGAGACATTATTACAAATATTTATTACTATATGTAAAAAATAATTGAGTTCAAAAAAGGAAAACCAAACCTAACCTCACTTAGCAACAGTACAAAAAGTATCTACTCCTAATAATTTTCATTTAATTCACAAAAAAATGTGTAATATTGTTTCAAAAATATTACCAAAAATTGTCTTTGACTATTGTGCCAATATTATAAAAGAACACGATTGTATCTGTAATACAGTTTGTAAGATTCTCTTTTGAAAACATCTGTAGTACCGGAAATGCCGGTATTTAAAACCTGAAATACATTCTCTGAGTGAGTCTCTATCAGAATGCCTTTGTACAGCTATTCAAACAAGTTAATGCAAAAAAGATTACTTCCTATATGTATTTTTATGTATATACATGATACAGTTACTTTCAATATTAAACATTTAAACAGATGAATTAAATAAGTGACTATACTAACAGATATTTCTAATTATTTTTAGTTAAAAATTGCTGGTAATAATATAACTATATAATAAACAAAATATTTAACATTCTGTTATTAGAAAAATTCACTCCTATTTTTATTAAATTCATTCGTAGAAATAATATGTATACAAAATTCACAAAAATACAAAATTTGCAAATAAAATATATTTAGCTTTACTTTCTTCAATAGAATGATTAATAATTTTATTATTATAACAGTGTAGTTAAATTTAAAAAATAAAACTGTATATTATATAACTAAAACTCTCCAATATTTTTGCAATTTACAATACCTTAATTTATAATTGCAATACATTAAAAATTCCCCATTTAACAACATTCCAATAAAAAAAAATCATTTTTACATACTCGTACAAACCACCGCAACTTAAAATTTGCTCTCACTGTTTCAGTTACGACGAGCAAAAAAATTCCATACAAAATCATTAGTAACAATAAAATATTCAAACGTCACGCTCCAGTATTCGCTACTAAACTGAATGTACAAAATTCATGTCCACGAAGATCAAGTATACATAAACGTACATTCAATAATCGAAAAGTGACGCGGCGGCGAAACCGCCCGAAACTTCAAAAATGTTTTCGTCTTCGAATTTCAATGTCGTCGGAACACTTTACAACACAAACACGGCAACGAACGTTCGATCTGTAAATAGACTTCTAAGCTTTCCAATTATATCCATCGACCCAGCAACAATTATTCTAAAGCATCCGCGGGGAATCGATCGAACGGCTTTCACTTTCGAGCCCACACACCCTCCGTACCGCGATTTAAAATCATTTTGAAAACAAATACCTTTACCACGATGAAAGGTGGGGCCGTTTAGTGCGTCATGGGGCCTTTTGTCAAACGTGAAACCTTTCAGTCCGCGTTCGTATATGTGTACTATCGCGAGGGCGATAAATGAAGTTATCGGAGCACGTGTTCACCGAAACGAAATCGCCTGCGAACGCGTGAAGCCTGCGATCGCCACTGATCTCTCGAATTCGACTGAATCCTGTTGAGTCGAAACCCGAAGCTACGCCATCCCTCCCCTTCGTGTACGAGCCAGCTTTCCTCGACCAATCGAGGGAATGCATTTTTACCCCCGTGTCCCCTCCGCCCCTGTCGGTGATTCACACCCCCACAGTCCCCACTCTGCGTACACCTCCCCTTTCGTTCAAATTCCCCTACCATTCACCGTCTTCCACCCCCGAGTTTACGCGAACTGGAGACAGGGATAATTTCATTGTCGAACTTGGTCCTTCGGTTTTGATGAACGCGGATATAGGAAGACGGCTATATGGGACGAGGGCGGGTTGCCAGGTGATGGAATGAATGGCTCACCCTAAATTTCCTATGCGTACGAGAATGAATCGCGGTCATCTCGCGATGTCAATGGAGAAAAAACGGGATTGGACTTCCTTAATTTTTAAGGCTACCTGTTTCGGGGGTACTGCTATTTGAACAACCGGTATTTGGGCAACCGGTACTTGATCGGGTAGATGACACTTTGGGTGGTTATTGTATGGGATTTCTGGTAAGATTGAGGTGTGATGCTTGAAGGGTGTACTGGTAATGTGGTAGTTCACCACTGGTACTTGGGCAATGTATTATAATACTTGTTATAGTAATTGATAATTGATTACTGTACATTGGTAGGTAACTTGTAGCTAATATGGGTAGATGACACGTTCTGAGGTTATAATTCTATGAGATTTCTGTTAAGAATTGAAGTGTGAAGCTTGAAAGGTGTACTGGTAGGTGACCAGTGTGGTAGTTGATCACTGGTGCTTGACCAGTGTATTGATTATTGATCACTGTGCATTGGTAGTTGACTGGCAGCCAGTATAGGTAGCTGACACGTCTGCAGTTATAATTCTATGAGATTTCTGTTAAGAATTGAGGTGTGAAGCTTGAAAGGTGTACTGGTAGTTGACCAGTATGGTAGTTCATCACTGGTGCTTGACCAGTGTATTGATTATTGATCACTGTGCACTGGTAGTTGATTGGTAGCTAGTATACTAGGCGACATTTGTATTTTCAGTCACAAATTTTGGAAATTATAAATTTTCTAAATAAAAAATTGTCAAATTTAGATATTTTGGAAATTATAAATTTTTCAAACTAGAAATTTTGGAAATTAGAAATTGTCAGATTTAGAAATTTTGAAAATCACAAATTTTGCAAATTAGAAATTTCTGAAAGCAGAAATTTCCCCAACTAGAAATTTCCGAAATCAGAAATCTCCCCAACTAAAAATTTCCAATATCAGAAATTTCCCAAGCTAGAAATTTCCAAATTAGAAATTTTCGAAATTAGAAATTTCCCCACCTAGAAATTTCCGAAATCAGAAATTTTCCAAACTAGATATTTCCAAAATCAGAAATTTTCCAAATTAAAAATTTCCAAAATCAGAAATTTACCCAACTAGAAATTTCCGAAATCAGAAATTTCCCAAACTAGAAATTTCCAAAATCAAAAATTTCCCAAACTAGAAATTTTCGAAGTCAAAAATTCTCAAACTCAAAAATTCAACACCTCACTTTTCTTAAAAATATCGCAAAAACATTATCAGTACCACAAACATGTATTAATACCAAATGAACTATATTTGCACATACATTCAACATTTACGAACAATTCATCGAATCTATATTTTACAACGAATATATTCTCTGATGAGCGCACATTCTGCTAAATACATCAAAACAATCACATTCTTACGTTACCTATTATACCAAGAACATTATGAATCTATTCATCACAAAACCCTGCTATTACAATTCTAAACTGGCATTCAATATTACCTAATCAACTGCTTGAGCAGCCATTATTACGTTTGACAGTACACATTAAATATTTCAGTTGCCGTTAAACCCACCGATATATTTCAAATAATGACAATGTGTACTTTAGATAATGTCGATATGTCAATCTACTGTTTGGTACACTCAATAATATTGATTATGTGAATACATAGTCATCTGAGATCCTCTTCAAACGAATCCCAAATTAATAACAAAGTTTGTGATTTAGATTGCAAAATTATTTTTAAATTGTAATTATTGATAGCGAGGTGGAAATAAAAATAGCTTGATCACGTAATAGTCGTGTCACTTTAAGGTCAATGTGTGCTTTAATTTCTGATAAGGGCGCAAGGTTAGTGAAATGTGAATGTGTTCATGTGGAAGATGATGGAGAAGTATATTTAGATATTTAAGACTGAATTTGGAGATTTGGATAGGAACCTGGTTGGATAGAGATGGATTTAGATATTTAGACATGGATTTGGATATTTAGATTTGGATTTAGATCTGCATTTGGACATTTGGACCTGGGTTTAGACACTTAGATCTTAATTTAGACACTTGGATCTTGATTGAGACACTTAGACCTGGATTTGGGCACTTAGATCTTGGTTTAGACACTTAGACCTGGATTTAGTCATTTAGACCTGGCTCTAATTACTTACACCTGATTTAAACATTTATAGTTGACCTTAAGTCTGGATTTAGGGATATACATTTAAACCTAGACCTAGAAATTTACAATTGAACCTAATCATGGACCTGGACATTCACAATTAAGCTTAGACCAATTTGAAATGACAAATTAACCCTACTGCTAACAGTGTAGATGTAGCATCAACAGTTGTGTATATATCAAACTGAACTAACAGTTAGATACAGTTACGTGAAACCTTGTCAATCGTGGGAATGTGATGTGACAAACTAACCCAACTGTTAGTAGCAGTGTAGATGTAGCATCAGTAGTTGTGTATATACCAAACTGAACTAACAGTTAGGAACAGTTACGTGAAACCTTGACAATCGTGGATATGTGATGTGACAAACTAACCAAACTGTCACAGTGTTAGGTGTAGTATCATTAATTGTACACATATACACCAAACTGAGCCAGCAGTTAAAAACCGTCATACGAAATCTTATCAATCTCGTGAACAAAGTGAGAAACTAACCCAACTATGTCAGTGATACGTGTGGCATCAGTAGTATACGTACATACTGAGCTACCAAAAACAGTTATACGAAACCTTGACAATCGTGGGTATGTGATGTGACAAACTAACCCAACTGTTACAGTGTTAGGTGTAGTATCATTAATTGTACACATATACACCAAACTGAGCCAGCAGTTAAAAACCGTCATACGAAATCTTATCAATCTCGTGAACAAAGTGAGAAACTAACCCAACTATGTCAGTGATACGTGTGGCATCAGTAGTATACGTACATACTGAGCTACCAAAAACAGTTATACGAAACCTTGACAATCGTGGGTATGTGATGTGACAAACTAACCCAACTGTTACAGTGTTAGGTGTAGTATCATTAATTGTACACATATACACCAAACTGAGCCAGCAGTTAAAAACCGTCATACGAAATCTTATCAATCTCGTGAACAAAGTGAGAAACTAACCCAACTATGTCAGTGATACGTGTGGCATCAGTAGTATACGTACATACTGAGCTACCAAAAACAGTTATACGAAACCTTGACAATCGTGGGTATGTGATGTGACAAACTAACCCAACTGTTACAGTGTTAGGTGTAGTATCATTAATTGTACACATATACACCAAACTGAGCCAGCAGTTAAAAACCGTCATACGAAATCTTATCAATCTCGTGAACAAAGTGAGAAACTAACCCAACTATGTCAGTGATACGTGTGGCACCAGTAGTATACGTACATACTGAGCTAACAAAAACAGTATAATATGAATCATTAACAGTGTGTGAGTAACAAAGAGCAGTTCTAAGTACAAGGCGTGTAATAGCACGTTAAGGGTGGCAAAGTAAGCCGGTAATCCATAAGGTTATCAAATAGCACGGTTACGTACGTGCATATGGCGGTCCGTTAGGGTGGTCCTCTAACCCGTTCCCTTTTTTTCCCGTGTATGGAAGCCTAGCCCCGTGCTGGCATTCCAGGATGAAGAGAATTGATCGCGACCACCTTGTCCAACATGCGTGTGTACACGTAGCTACGTGGTACGGCATAGTCGGCCATCCCCGAGCGGAGGAGATCCCATGCCATATAAGAGGTATAGCGCGTGCGCCGCGAAATCATGAATGGAACCACCGCTCAATGCGAGTCCGGCCACACAATCACAGTCATACAGTCACTCTACTTTTATTTATATCCCTCCAACGACGACCTTCAGCCAAGGTAGGGTTGATCAGACAAATCAGGTTCTATTCTGCGGAGAAAAAACAGGTGTTACCAAGAACATCCGACGTCGTTTCGGAGATAATTGCCAGTTTCAAGGATGCGCGGAGATGATGCTTGAATGGCTCAATTGCCACTGGGTTGGGAATTTGTTGCGTTGGGAGATTTGTCGAGGTCTTCTAGGGATGTGTCTGGGTAATTGGAGTTAGGTTTTTCGTGCAGGGGTTGCCAGATTTTGGAAATTTCATGATTTGGGAATTTTTGTTCATACCTTTAGGTAGTTGACAAGTTGGTAATTTGGGTATTTGAAAATTTAGTCAATTTGGGAATTTGGGGATTTGCAAATTTGGAGACTTGGAGATTTGGAGATTTGGAGATTTGGAAATTTGGTAATTTGTGAATTTAGAGATTTGGAAATTTTTGGGGATTTAAGAATGTGTGGGATTTGAAGATTTGAAAATTTTACAATTTAAGAAATTTGGTCGAAATAACGTTTAGGAACCTAGGGATTTGGGGAATTTTAGAATTTGGAAATTTAGGAATCTCGGGATTTTTAGAAGTTGAAAAGTAAGAAATTTGGAGAATTTTAGAATTTGGAAATTTAGGAATTCGGGGAATTTTATAATTTGGAAATTTAGAAATTTGGGGAATTTTATAATTTGAAAATTTAGAAATTTGGGGAATTTGGAAATTTAGGAATTCGGGAAAATTTAGAAATTTAGAAATCTAGGGAATTTTAGAATTTGGAAACTTGGACTTTGGAGAATTTTGCAATCTGGAAATTTGG